CGCCAGGGAAAATTCCAGAAGTGATAAGCTAATAACTCAGCTGCCTGGGGGCTAAGACTCTTGCTTTAGCCTAGCCCACCAAGAAACCAGCCCTCCCACCCGCATGTGACTGCTAGCAAGCAAATTGCAAGGCAAAGGCCACGTTCCACGGACCAACCAGGTGCAGTCCATTAGCATGGGCATCCCTCTTGCTTGTGTGCTCTGCGGGCTGGAAAGTGTGTTCTATGACTGAGGCCAGGCTCAGTCTTAGGCTCACCTCCCTCACAACATCCCTTCTACCACCCATGCAGGTGTGACCAGCAGGGCAGCCTGGGTGATGCCCAAGACTGACCACTGCACTCACCTACTTGCCACTCAGGCCCTCTTGATCTTGGTTTTCGGATGCCTCTGGGCACTTGTTATTTTAGAACCAAGCACTGCCTAGGTTTACTCAAACTTGATGCACAGATGTTGGGGACACTAGTTTGTGTCCCCAGGAGGGTATTGTACCCTTTGTGCCCTCTTATTTCATTAACTTTGGTGCGGAGGGTCTCCTACGCACTGGGCAACTCTGAATCCTGGGTTGACCACCCTGCCAAACTTAACTCATAGGGGCTGGAGCCATAGTATAGTGAGCTGGTAGGGCACTTCCTTGGCAAATGGCCCACCTGGATTCAATCCCCTGTATCCCAAATACGGTCCCCCAATGCTTCCAGGAGTGGCCCCTGAGCACAGAGTCTGGAGTAACTCCTGGGAACCACTGGTGTGAATCCTAAAAACTAAGGAACCAAAATTTGACAAACAGATGCCCACAGTGCCCTGCAGTTCAGATTTCTGCTCACTACCCGGGACATCCAAATTTGTGCTCAGTTTCTCCCAGAACGCAGGGAGCTTTTGGTTGTAGCGCAGACTTGCTACAACTTGATGCCACATCTTGCCAAAAACTCCAACCCCCAAGTATGGCACACTTCACATGTCTGCTTGGCACTAACATTCCGGGTGCTCATGGCACAAGAAGTTCATGACATACTCACATTCCTCATCTCAGACTTTTGCTCCGTTTCCTGTGATCCCAGAGCAAATTCCTGGCTGTGGTGCCAGTCAGTGGAGTGTTGACTGGGAGCCCCGCTGAGTCACTGCCCAGAAGCAGGTGACCTTGAGAGGCCACAGGTGCCAGGCACTAGTGACCAGGCACCCTGTTCCCTGGTATACTTTGCAAGCCTGCTGAACCTCTGGCACAGAGTACCCATGACCACAATACCAGACATCCCTCCCAGCTACACACAGCCACAAACACTGCTTGGAATTTGAGATCATGGACCTCTAGTTACCCACCCACTGCGGCAGCTCACTGAACACCAACACTCGAACAAACCCAGATCTAATATGAAGATTCCACATGGCCCGGGAACGCTTTTATTTTTTTTTTGGCTTTTTTTGGTGGAGGTCACACCCAGCAATGCACAGGAGTTGCTCCTGGTTCATACACTCAGGAATCACTCCTGGTGGTGCTCGAGGGACCATAGGGGATGCTGGGAATTGAACCTGGGTTGGCCGTGTGCAAGGCAAACGCCCTACCCGCTGTGCTATTGCTCCAGCCCCCGGCCCGGGAACTCTTAAGTTGTCGGAAGCACCTGGTAGATTCCTGAGTCTCCCTTTCTACGTTGCCCAGGGGTAGATTCAGCTTCTTTGTCCCCTGCCAGCCGGCTCACTTCTCCCAGATTCTACACCGGTCCTGGTACTGCCAAGTGCCTCCCACCCCTACCTTCTCCCTCCCCTGCTGAGACCCCAGGATTGCTGCAGCTTCCCGGAGGTTGTTTATCTGCTGCCTGGAGGCCTGTGAACCTTGAGAAGACCAGAACATGTTTGTGCCTCTAGGAAACCAGACAAGGACAGATGCTGCAAAGTCCTGCTTAAGTGGCAGAGGGACCTAGAGCAACCCTGGGAAAGGAAATGGAGCATGTAGACTTTTCCAAGGAGACAACTGCGACCAGCAGAGCCTGCCGCAGATGCAAGGGAAGCCACTGATGAGATTAGGTAAGGACGGATCAGGACAGGGTGGGGCACTGGGCAGGGATGGAAAGCGCCCCTCCCAGGAGACGGGATTAGACAGGACTGGGAAATCTGGTCCTAACCAACCCTTCCTGGGATGATGTGATTGGCCATCCAACCAAGAATCTAAGGCAAGGACCCACCCTTGGGGATATAAAGCCTGATGTTCATCTCACTAGTATGCAGCTCTCCCCAGAACACTAGAGTCTGGGGTGTCCGGACCAGCCATAGCTGCTCTTCAGGAAGGAGGACGCAGACCTGAGCTAGGCTCAGGTGAGCTGCCATTCTGACTGAGCAGAGGATCTTGGAGGCTGTGAGCTGACAGGAAGTAGGCCTGGGTTCATTTGTCAGAGATGACCTTGATGGGATGGATGAAGTGGGGCAGTGGGGGTGGGAGAATGTTCTGGGGAAGGGGGTGGACTAAAGCTTTGGGCGGACCTAACACAAGGGAGTTGTGGCGGGCCCAGGGTCTTACCTTTGTCCAGGAATGGTCCAGACATGTCGCTTATGTGTTGCTCATGATGGTGCCACTTTTGTTTCCCAGAATGGGCTCCTCAACTTGAGGGGTTTCGGGTGTTTTTTTTTTTGTTGTTGGTTGGTTGGTTGATTTTTAGACTTTTAGGGTCACACCTGGCCCGGAGGATACTCCTGGCTTTGCACCTCAGCATTACTCATGGCAGTGCCTGAGGGACCATATAGGATATCAGAAATCAAACCCGACTCTGCCACACGCAAGGCAATCACCCAACCCACTGTACCATCACTCCGACCCCCACTTGGGGTTTTATAAGTATGAGTTTGCTTTGTTGTAATTTCTGGCAGCACAGCGGGTAGGGCGTCTGCCTTGCACGCAGCCAACATGGCCGACCCGAGTTCGATTCCTCCGCCCCTCTCGGAGAGCCCGGCAAGCTACCGAGAGTATTCGATATGCCAGACACAGTAACAACAAAGTCTCCAATGGAGACGTTACTGGGCCCGTTCGAGCAATTTCTGGCATGATTTGGGGGCCACATCTGGCGGGGCTCAGTCAGGGCCTGCTCTTGGCTTGTGCTCAGGGCTCACTCCTGGTAGTGCAAAGATCAAACCAGGGTCTGCAAGGCAAGCACCCTACCAGCTGTACTATCCCTCTGGCCCCTAACTCCTAACTGTGCTTTTTGAATGCGCCTTTATAACTGTAGGTTAATGATTTGGTGAACTGTTCCTATACGTATATTGGAATAGTTATATAGTTATATAGTCATGCTGTCTTTTTTGTAACTTGTCAGCTGTGTGACATTTGTTCTCAGGATAATCACATGATTCAAGGTGTGTCTCAGAATTTCTGACACTGTTGAGCCTTTTGTTGAGAATAGGCAACAAAGCTACAAAGACCTATCCAAGTAGGGAAGACAAATGCCAGCACTCTGGACTCTGGGCCCCACTAAATTCTCCTTGCCCCACGTTTTGTCTTGGTTTTGTTTTGTTTTAGGCTACACCCCGTGTTGCTCAAGGCTTACTCCTGGTTCTATCTCAGTGATGACTGCTGGTGGGACTTGGGGGAACCATCTGGGGATGGAACCTGGGTTGGCTGCCTGCAAGGCAAGCTCCCTGAGATCTGTACCATCGCTCTAGCCCTAGATGAAAGGCTTTTGCCTCTGTCTTTCTTTAAAACGCACCTGGTGGCATAGATTTGTGAAGGTGGGAGCACAGGGTGCAGAGAGGAAGGAAAGATAGAGTCCCCGGGGATCATAGCTCTGAGACCAGCACAGTCTCTGTTCGAAGAGGAGGTGGCAAAACTGTAAGAATGAAGCTCCATGGCATTTGCTGACTTTACCGCTTAGGAAACAGCTCTTCTGACTCTGGAGAGATAGAACAGGAGAGAAGGCACTTGCCTTGCATGTGACTGTAGCAGCCTAGACCCTGGTTTGAATCCCCATCTCCACCTCTGGTCCTCTAAGCACCTCCAGGTCTCACTCCTAAACACAGAACTAGGAATAGTCCCTGAGAATTGATGGGCTTGCCCAAAGCCCCCCACCCAAAGAGCTCTTATAAAATTGCTGATTTAGTAGAATATACTAGTAGGGAGAATACTCCTCTCATGGACCAGGATGCTATGATCAAGAATTAATTTCTGTCCATCTTCACTATAACCCTGCCTACTCCACTTGGGTATTAATTTGAGCAAATTATCACCAAATATATATATATGTTTCTGTTTGTGAAGCAAGGAAATTTTCAATTGAAATTTACTTAGATGAGGGGAGAGAGAATGATGTGAGGAGAAGAAAAGAGAAGTTTGTTTGTTTTTGTTTGTTTGTTTGTTTTTGCTTTACACCCGGTGATGCACAGGGGCTACAACTCCTGGCTCACGCACTCAGGAATTACTCCTGATGGTGCTCGAGGGGAACATATGGGATGCTGGGCATTAAATCCAGGTCGGCCAAGTGCAAGGCAAATGCCCTACCCACTGTGCTATTGCTCTAGCCCCAAGAGAAGTCTGTTGAGAGAGAACTCTGGCTTCTCCAGAGTGGAAATAGGCGAGTAAAGATGTGAGACCAGCAAGCGAGAGAGTGTTCAAGGGAGAAACAAGCGCTTAAAGAGTGAGCTTTTTATTTGCTCCTCCATGGGGCATGCCCAGCAGTGTTTAGGGGCTACCTGGTGCTCAGGGAGATCTTATTCTTGGTTGTGCTGGGGATCAACTTCAGGAATGTGAATGCAAAGCATATTCTTAGCTGCTGTGTCTTGGACCACATATATTAGCTTAATCTTTGAGCTATTTTTAAAAGTTTCTTGGTGGATGTTGCCTATTGTCCGTTGTCTGTGTTTCATATTTCTATCCCGTCTTGCCTTAGGACGTTTCCATCTCTACTGGGAGTTGAGCTTCCCTACACACCAGAGGACCAACTGACGCTTCCGTTTCCAGTCCCTGAGGAGGGCTGGGAAAAGACGACTAGGAGCAGAGACCCGAGCTGCCCCCGCGGCCCCGCACCATGGCCCTGGCCACCACCCTGGCTGAGCTGCAGGCAGAAGCCCAGTGCCCACTGTGCCAGGGGCCCCTGCGCAACCCCCTGACCCTGGACTGCGGTCACAATTGCTGCAGTTCGTGCTTGCGGCGGCGCTGGCAGCACCTGTGGGAGCCCCTGCCCTGCCCCGTGTGCCAGCACCCCTGTCCCCGTGCTCCCCGCGGGCCCAACAGGCAGCTGGCGCTGCTGGCCGACCTGGTCAGCCAGCTGCCCGACCCGAGGCCCAAGAGACATGCGCGGGAGACCCCAGGCCGCTGTGCTGTGCACCAGCAGGCCCTGAGCCTCTTCTGCAACGACCACCTGGAGCTGCTGTGTGGCCAGTGCGCCACCTCCGCTGCCCACCGCGGCCACCGCCTCATGCCCATCGGCCTCGCGGCTGCTCATCACAGGACCAAGCTCAAGGGCTACCTGGAGCCTCTGCGCAAGCAGCTGGAGGAGGCAGACAGGCAGTTAGAAGGGCAAGATGCAGAGTTAGAGGAAATCAAAGACCAGCTGAAGACGCATAAGGAGAATGTGCATCGCGAAGCCCGCCAGTTGAAGCATTTCCTGAAAAGGAAGGAGCGGGCCATTGAGAATAAGATGTTTCGGGATCTGGCCCGTGTTTACCGAGACTTGGTGAAGAACAAGGCCCAACTGTCCCAGTACGCCCAGACCCTGAAGAAACGGCTGATGGACGCCAAGCTGCTCTCTCTGAAGGCCGATGCGGACCTCCAGGCAGAAGGCAGCGACCTGCACCCGGACTGGCGTGAGTGTTTGAGCCGGGAGCTCCCCACGGTCCCTGCCATCAAGTACGAAAGGGAGGGTCTCTATCTCCCCCCACATTACATCGGCTTGGACAACATGATGGTCAAGTTTCAGGAGAATTTGACATTGGATCCTGAGACTGCTCACGGGGATCTCCTCATCTCCCAGAAGAGGACTGCCAGCTACTGCCAGAAGGGCAGGAAGCCCACCCAGACCCCTCCCCGCGGGGCATTCACCTCTCACGTGGCTGTCCTTGGGATGCCAGGTTTTGTGGGCGGAAGGCACTTCTGGCAGGTGGAAATCCGAGGTCCAGGTGTGTGGTCCCTGGGTGTGTGCAAGGAATCCTTCCCCAGAAAGGATCTGGTGAGGCCTACCCCTCGCAACGGCTGCTGGCGCTTCCCAGTGTCCTCTGTGGCCGAGCGACAGGACCGAGAATGCCAGCGAATTGGTGTTTTTCTGGACTACGACTTGGGAGAAATTTCTTTTTACAACTGGAGCAAGAGAACCCACTTAGGTACAATCGCAGGTGATTTTACAGAAAAACTCATGCCTTATTTTTCCATCAGAGATTTTCCCTTAACATCTTCCTTGAGGATAATCAGAGAAGAATGCTGAAGAACATGCAAGCTGTGGTTGTGGTCTGTGAAGTGGTTAGGTGCTGGTAATAAGAGTCTTGATTCTGAACTACCTCCAGCATCGTGTAAGGAACTACCTTTGGTGCCATGTAAGCTGATCTACTGGCCATGATTCAGAGACTTCTACATCTCAATTAAATCTTGAGAGAGAACAACAACTTGCAAAAAACTCTTCTGGACACCCGTGCAAGGCTGAGTTGTCTGGGGCGCCCTGGAGGGGGCGCTTGAGCCCAGCCCAAACAGAGCCCCAAGCAGCTGAAAACTTCCACACTGCACAGTCACCACCATGTCTCCGACTGGACTCCACTGCCTCGGGTCGAGCCTTACTCAGAAATTAATCTGCTAAAAAAATTAGGTATTCGGGTTTGTGACTGAAATCTCTAGGCTTTCATGGAGTCTGGACCGGCTACCCTCCCCTGTCTCTGCCAGAAACCCCAGCAGTCATGCACACACCCAAAAGCTGCCACCAAGTCAACATTTAGCTCCAGCTGTATCATTCCCTTAAAAATTCCCTGGAGAAACTGTACAGCAAGGATAAATCAATAGTTGCACACCAGACTGGATGGGATGTAGCGTAGAAGGCAATCAATCTTGATTAAGAAAATATTAACACACAAGGCTTACCTGCAACAACATCTTAGTAATCTCTTCTACAAGGACTTAATAGCTCCATGGTTTAATACAACTTTCTTTAAAGTAACTTTCTTCTAAGAAAACGTTTTTCCATCATTTTGTTAACAAATTATTGATAACAAGCAATATGAAATAAATGATTGAGGGCCTGCTATGGGGGCAAGCTTAAGGGGTGGTTGGGAAAATTTGAGAAAATGGTGGAGGGAAGATGTAATGGTGGTGGGATTGTTGTTTGAACATTGAATGTCTGTAACAAACCATAAGAGACTTTATAAATCACAGTGTTTAAAGTTAAGAGGAAGGGGTGGGGGTGGTGGGAGGGATACTGGGAACATTGGTGTTGGAAAATGGGTACTAGTGGAGGGATGGGTACTCGATCATTGTATGACTGAAACATAAGCTTGAAAGTTTGTTAAGTCTGTTACTGTATCTTACGGTGATTCATTAAAAAATAAAAAAAATTAAAAAAATTAAAAAATAAAAAAAATTAAAAATTTAAAAATAAAAAAAATTAAAAAATTTAAAAATAAAAAAAATTAAAAAATTAAAAAATAAAAAAAATAAAATTATCTCAAATAATAAAAAAAGTGTTAAGGGAAAATGTACACATGTAGGCCTTACCTATTTCATGTAAACTCCAAAATATATTAACATAGAATTGTTTTAAAAGTGTTGTTAATGCCAGGTGATACATAATGAGATCCAAGTATAAAATAAAATTTAATGTAATATACTTTAGATTGCAGACTTGAAAATGTATATGTGTAAATGAGAATAGGCTTTTTTATATTGTGTTAATGGTTTTAGTTTTCTTGTTAACATAGGTCAAAATCATATAGTAATCATTGTTTTCCCCTTACTGATTTGTTTTCTGGTCATTCTAGTTGTCAGTTCTTAAAGTTTTGTCGGAATAAACAATATAAAGTAAATTTGTTATGTGCCCAAGGGAGCAGGTTGGGATTGGGAGGGACACTGGGGATATTGGTGGAGGGAAGGTGACACTGGTGTGCTGGAACACTAAATGATTGAAACATCTGTATAATAAACAACTTTGTAAATCATGGTGTTTTTATTTATTTGTTTATATTTTGCTTTTTGGGTCACACCCGGTGATGCACAGGAGTTACTCCTGGTTCATGCACTCAGGAATTACTCCTGGTGGTGCTCAGGGGACCATATGGGATGCTGGGAATCGAACCTAGGTTGTCTGTGTGCAAGGCAAATGCCCTACCATCTGTACTATTGCTCCAGCCCCAATCATGGTGTTTTAAATAAAATTAAAAAAAAAAGAGTCGATTCCATTCTGATATCTGAGTGGTGGTGATTTTCTCCCCCCACCCTGCCTTCAGGGCAAGATGTCAGTCAAGCTGCTACTCCCATCCTGAGCTTGGGGGTGGGTTCCAGGAATTCAAAAGTTTTCAATGGGGTGATAGAGCTGGAGTTAAATTCCTCTTTTTTTATTTTACAAAATTAAATAATTTAATTTATTTATTTTTTTTGGAGTTAAATTCTTAACTGGATGGTGAGTTCAGGGTCTGGAGGCATCTCTGCAGCTTGTTGATCTCTTTTGAGGTTTATTTATGAGTCTTGAATCATGCATGGTTAAGGAGTTTACCAGAGAAGGTGGTAATGATTATTTCTTTTCCCTAGAGAGAGGCAGGCCAGTTTGGGCCACAACCGGTGGTGCTCAGAGCTTGTTCTGACAGTGCTCAGAGGTCACTCCTGTTGGTTCTCCAGGGATCAGAGGCAGTGCTGTGGATTGACCCAGGCTGATTTCACACAAGATTAGTGTCTTAACCCTTGTACTCAATCTAACCCAAGAAATGATGTTCCTGCCAAGCTTGAGGAGGGTTTTTATTCCCCAGGGGACCCCACATAAGGTCCCTGCTTGTGTTTAAGGCAAGCACCCTTAATCCTCTTTAATAGTGCTCTACTCACTGATTTAAACATAGAAAAAAATAATGGTGGTTGTAGAATTCCTACTTTGTCTCATACTCAAGGGGAGCATGCTAATAAGAAACACACATAAGTCATATAAACATTACTTAAATGCTGAGACTGTTGGGGAAAGTTCAGGGAAAAGCCACCAACTGAGAGTCCTCTGGAAAGGCCAGTAGGGAAGAGGAGGTATCTTGAACTATCCACACCCAGCAGGCCTTTCTGTGATGTTCCCCCATCACTCCCCCTGCTGTGGGTCTGGAAAACTGGAATTTGTGTGTCTCGTTCAAGAACCCTTAGTGCTAGAGTCAGAGTCAATGAGCACAAACCAGGAAGAGGCCAAACCCTTTATCCATCTCAATTCTCCTTGCCCTGGTGGGATCTTGCTGAGAGCCTGTGTTCAGGATGTTGAGAGTAAGCTCTCCCAGGATTGATGGAGGAGGCGTCAGTGACTGTGTGTCAGAGTATGTCCTGTAAGGGTCACAGATGTTAGTATACAGGCCTGAGAAAGCTCAATCTTGGAGGTGGAGAGTTGGATTACCCAGAACTCACCGAATGTCAGAAGTACCAGATAGAATTATTTCAGCTACATTTTGAGGGCTTTCACAATGCTCTGGGTATGAAATATCTTTTTTTCTTTTTGGTCTTTTTGAGTTACACCTGGTGATGCTCAGGGGTTACTCCTGGTTCTGTATTCAGGAATTACTCTTGGTGGTGCTTAGGTGACCATATAGGATGCCGGGGATCGAACATGGGTTGGCTGTGTGCAAGACAAACGCCCTCCTGGCTATACTATGGCTCCGGTCCCATGAAGTACGTTCTACCCAGAAAAATCTGCAGCTTCTCCTCCTCCTGGCCCGATTTCTGACCTCACCTTCTACATATCCCATAGTAGCTATCTCCAGAGCTCCCCAGGATGAGGGGAAAGAGAACAGTTGGTCCCGAGAGCTTGTCTGCTGCCTGGATACCTGGGGCAGCAGAGACACACTTCCATGAAAGGGACATAAGAGCAGAATCTATAAACAACCACCCTGAGCACGGAGGGTGTTAAACAGGCTCTGAGGAGCAAACCAACTCTGCAGCGTCATTGGGGAGAAAGGCAGTAGGAGTTTCTCCCAAAATAGTGGACTCCAAAAGTAGAACACCAATGAGCTTCCATAGAGAACCTGTGAGTGCAGGATTGGAGGAGAGTGGGCAGCCGGGCTTGAGTGAGAAGTCTTGTCTCGAAGCAGGAGATGAGATCAGAGAGGCTGATGATGGAGAGGGCCCATGGGAGCTAATTAGTGAAAGGATGATATTTAGAATAGGACAATGGGAGGGAAGGGATGACCATGCTTTCAGAGTATGAGACCCTGCTTTGAACCCCTGGCAGCCTCCCCAACGAGGAACCAGACCTGAACACCGGGAGGGCACCTGTAAATTCCAGGTGAACTGAGGCTCAAGGACCTTTAACAGCCAGCGGCTTTGTGTAGGAGGCATTCAAGGGGAAGGGAGGAACCCTTCGGCAGGACAGGAGTTGTGCTTCTGTAGGTTCTGTGGTGGGTTCAGAGGTGGAGATGCTGGGGGAGGGGTATACCTCCAGCCTTTTATGTTGGGGCATCAGGGCTGGAGAGAGTCACAGAGGGTGTGGGAGCCCAGGGTCCTGCTGGCACTCAGAATTTGTGTCAGGCCCATTGCTCACCATGGCATCACTTTTTTTTTTAACTGAATTACCATGAGATTCACAGTTACAAAACTGTTCATGGTTGGGTTTCAGTCATACAATGTTCCAACACTCATCCCTTCACCAGTGTACATTTCTCACCACCAATGTCCCTAGTTTCCCTTCTGCTACTCCTCCCGCCTTCCCCCACCTGACAACCCTCCTCTCTCTTTCTCTCCCCGCACCTCCCATGTGGCATCACTTTTTAAAAAATTTCTATTAGTGAAACACCATGAGGTACAGTTGCAGACTTACAAGTTTTTGTACTTGGGTTTCAGTCATACAATGATCGAGTACCCATCCCTCCACCAGTGCTCATTTTCCACCACCACGGGTTCCGGGTTCCAGTATCCCTCCCACTCTCCATCCCCCCATCCCACCCTGCCTCTGTGGCAGGCCATTCCCCTTTGTTCTCTCTCTCCTTTTGGGTGCTGTGGTTTGCAAAAGAGGCATTGAGTGGCAATCATGTTTGGTCTATAGTCTACTTTCAGCAATGGCATCACTTTTAATATTTCAAATGGACCAACCAGTTAAGGTTTTGAAGAAAGTGTGTGTGTTTTACATTCTTGTAAATTATATATTGGCTGAAATGTGTTGATGTGTCATGCATTTTCCTTTCAACTTGTCCTCAGCCACGTGGAATCAGCTCTGGTGATAATCACAAGATTCTACATCGTCTGGGGTTTTGATTTTATTTATAGCTGTGAGCAGAGTGTTGAAGACACTCAGCTAATGAGCAACCCACATAAGGAAGAGACCCAAAAGGCTCTGGGCACGGGGCGCCACCAGCGTCTTCTCCAGAGTTCAGCTTTCATTGCACTAATGCTCTGTCCATTAGTGAGAAGATAGGACAGTGGATCTGGAGGGAGGTGGACACAGAGATGAGATCAGACCTGGACTCCCGTCCATGGCACATCTTGCAGGGGGGACTCTCTTCAGTCTCCCTTTTCTGCCATGTCAGGGAGGGGCAGAGGTATAGAGAAGAAGGAGGTGAGGGACTTAGAGTGCCTGGACTTGACTCCACTGTGAGGAAGGTGAGGACAGGGCGTGGAGGGACCTGCTCTGACATCGAGGGTATTTATAAGGAAGAAGGAGGATGAGCCAGGGCTGCAACAGCTGAGCTCTAAGGCATTTGCAGACTTCAACTTTTAGGGAAAAACAGATCTAATTATAGATAGTTGATTTCTCCATAATGCAGTGAGAATATTTTAATGAATTCTGTGGTTCAGGAAACCTAGTATGATTATGAATTAATTTCCAAACGTCTTTACTTGTTCCCTCACCAACTCCTTTGCTATTGAGTATTTTCAAGACATCCAAAATTTTTGTGGCTGTGGAGGTGGCTCCTAGTGGTGCTCAGGGGACTATGCGCTCAGCCTGGGCTTATTGCTCAAGTCCAACCTTTATTGTTGTTAATTTTTCAGTGCTGAGGATTAGAGCCAGGCCAATACATCAACATCTTAACATGGGGGCAGGAGTTCAGTGGCCCAGCACATAATGTGCACTTTGAAGACACAGAGGCAATCCCCGGCACCACAAAAACAAACATATAATGACAAAGGCTAACTAACACTTGCTTTTCCCTCTCTCTTTTCCCTAGGAACAATTAAAACATAAAACATGAATATTAACAGGCTGGAGTGATAGCACAGCGGGTAGGGCTTTTGCCTTGCAAGGGGCCAACATGGTTGACCCGAGTTCAATTCCTCTGCTTCTCTCGGAGAGCCCGGCAAGCTACCCAGAGTATCTCGCCCGCATGGCAAAGCCTGGCAAGCTACCCGTGAAGTATTCAATATGCCAAACACAGTAACAATTGTCACAATGGAGATGTTACTGGGCCCCCTCAAGCAAAATCTATGAACAATGGGAGGACAGTGACAGTGACAGTGAATATTAGAATTTGCCCATGTGTCAATGAAAGTCTTTAAAAAATACACACAAAAAAAATTTATAAATTGCCATCTCCCCAAAGGGGCTGGAGCGATAGCACAGCGGTAGGGCATTTGCCTTGCATGCAGCCAATATGGCCGACCCGAGTTCGATTCCTCTACCCATCTCGGAGAGCCCAGCAAGCTACCGAGAGTATCTCGCCCGCATGGCAAAGCCTGGCAAGCTACCCGTGATGTATTCGATATGCCAAACACATTAACAAGTGTCACAATGGAGACGTTTCTGGGCTCACTTGAGCAAATCGATGAACAACGGGAGGACCGTGACCTTGACCATCTCCCCAAACTGAATGACGACATATATCATTTATCAGCAATCAGTCCCTATTGACATCCACTTACATGGCCACTGAATGTCCCCTCACTCCCTCTCCCTTATTGTGAGGGAAATTTTGACATGTATGTATATATATATATATTGCATATATATATATATATTGCATCTATCTATCTATTACATCGCTCTCAACTATCCTCTTACTCATGAATAAAGTCAGTCACAGCATTTTGAAAAAGCATCAGGACTAGAGTGATAGCTCAGCGGGTAGGGCGTTTGCCTTGCTCGCAGCTAACCCAGGTTCTATTCCCAGCATCCCATATGGTCCCCAAGTACTAACAAGAGTAATTCCTGAGTGCATGGGCCAGGAGTAACTCAAAAAACAAAACAAAACAAAAAAATCAGACACGTCTATCTGACTCACTGTTGGTTTGTGTAGGTTAAGCTAGAAAACAAAACTGGTGAGCTGCAGTCTGTGGTCTTTAGTCCCTGAATCTTTATTGTCTTTAACCACTTGTACCATTCTTTTTGAAGGATCCGTGTAAATTTTCCATAGTTATACAGTCTGGATTTTCCGTGTCTCCTCGGGGCTGAGCATCCTGCGAACCCCCAGGACCAACTGACACTTTCATTTCAGTCTCCCGGGAGTGACAGCCCCGCCCAGCTGCTTCCCCCGCGGAGACCACCCACGAAGGCCCGCGTGGCCATCCCAGCTCCTAGTGGCCAGCGTCGCTGCCCGCTGCCCCTGTGCGGACCCCACATCATGGCTCTGGCCGTCACCCTGGCTGAGCTGCAGGCACAGGCCCACTGCCCACTGTGCCGGGCTGCTTATCACAGGAGGAAGCAAGGGCTACCTGGAGCCTCTGCAGAAGCAGCTGTGGGAGTCACAAAGGACCTGGACAGCAAGAGGCGGAGAGACAGGAGTGAAGAGTTAGCTAGTCACAAGCATACAGTGTGCTACGAAGGCCACCAATATAAGCATTTCCTGGGAAAAGCGCGGCAGGACATGAAGGCGGGCTGCTTAGGGAAACAACTGTTGTTTGCCAGTATCTGATGGAGAATAGAGACCAGCCCACCCAGCACAGCTCCACCCTCCAGAGCCTGCTGAGGGTCATCACCTAGCTGTGTCTGCAGACAGACCTGGGCCTGCTGACGGGGCTCAGAAGTGGAGTCTGAAGCTCCCTCTGGTGCTTCGGCAGTTTCAAGAAGGACATTCTCAGTGTCTCCCCACTTTATGCTTTTTTTTGCAGAACACAGTGGACAAGTTCCAAGTAGATTTGAAACTGGCCCCCGAAAGTGCTCAGCCCAGTTTAGTCTCTCAGGACAGGAAAACTGCCAGCTGTCATCATGAAAGCTCAGAACCTATCTCTGCTCCTCATTCCCCAGCACCTGTGCCTCACCCAACTGTCCTGGGTCCCCAGTAATTTGTTGGCAGCAGGCCTGTCTGGCAGGTAGAAGTTCGGGAGACTGGGCTCTGTCATGCGCAAGGAACCCTTCCCCAGAATTGCTCCAACCAAGTCGTCTGCACACAGATGTTGCTGGCGGTGTGAAGGATCCACTTTCATGCACCTTCACCTCCAAGGCTTCGAGCGTTTTCCCTGGACCGTGACATTAGAGAAGTTTACTTCAACAAACTGAGTGGTAGAACCCACTTAACATAAACTCAATGCTACGTTTACAGAGGAACTTGGGCCCTATGTCTCAGTTCTTCCTTCTCTGTAACCTGAGCATTGTCAGGGATGAATTTCCTTGCAATGGAAAGTTCTGGAAATAAAGTGTTGCAGTTCAGTTGCGAGGTCTGTGTGCAGTGTTCTCTCTGAACTCTGGGCTATCATCTGGACCAATTGCAGACAATCTGCTCCTTCCTGGGGAGAAAAGTTCTATCTGGGAACTTCTCTCCAGGGCTCCCCACCACCAGCACCCGAGTGGTTATCTTCCTTCTCCCTTTCCTTTGGCCATGTGGCTGCTTCGCTCTGCCCATGTAGCCTCAGTCCAGGTGACTTGAGTCCATGATTTGCTCCTGACATATTTGGATTCTACCTGCATAAGAATGAAATTGCTTTGCTTTCTTTCCCCCAACCCTACCTGTTTTAATTTTTTAAAACAGAAAATATGTAGAAATAGAAACAGATTAACACCCACCACCCTCCTTTAGAGGGTGCACAGTGATAGCACAGCAGGTAGGGCCTTTGCCTTGCATGCGGCCAACCCGGGTTTCATTCCTCTGTCCCTCTTGGAGAACCCAGAAGGCTTCCGAGAGTGTTCTGCCCGCAGGGCAGAGCCTGGCAAGCTCCCTGTGGTGTATTTGATATGCCCAAAATAGCAACAACAAGTCTCACAATGGAGATATTACTGGTGTTATCACAATATCTCACAATGGAGATATTACTGATGAACAATGGGAGGACAGCGCTACCCTCCTTTAAGGCACTTTCACCTTCCTTTCACTATGCTCTCTCTTGCCTTCTCTCACCTCAGCCACTTTAGCCTGCTCTCAGATGGAGAGAAGGAGAGAGAGAGAGAGAGAGAGAGAGAGAGAGAGAGAGAGAGAGAGAGAGAGAGAGAAGAAATTGGACTTCCCCTTTAATTTGCAAGATGATCATTTGCCAAGGGTCGGGGTCCTTGGGTGTTCTTAGAGTAATTAATTTGGAGTCTGACCAGAAGTCCAGGGCTCAGCCAGTTGGTATGCTGTCAGGAACACACACCATACTGGTGCTCTTGCTCCATCTTTGGAGGACAATCATGGCACCCCTCTTTTGTGAATTCCCCCCTGACTCTGCACACTGACTCTCCCCCAAACTTTGCTTGCAGCTGGGTGGCTGATATGAGAGGTCCACACTCACAGCGTCTGCCAGGCACCCCGGGACACCTGGGGTTGCGTTGAGTCCATGGTTGAGAATACAATTTGCTTTTCAAAGTCCTCTTCTCTCTTTCCCTCATAGGAAAAGATTGATTGAAAACCCTAATACTTTGCTGGAGACACAGCTCAAAGGGCTGGAGAGCAGGCTTTGCATGCAAGGGATCTGGGTTCCACCACTGGCACTGCATAGTTTCAGAGCACCCCTGGGCATTTCCTAGGGTGACCCCCAAACAACAAAACAAATTAACAACACAAAAAAAGAAACTGAAAACTATTGTCAAGCTGAACCCACTCCGCGGGGAGCGGGGGGAGGGGCAGGGTTAATTTGCTATTTTCTAATTTTCTTACTTAGGTCTGGGATACTCTGAGAGATGAAGTAATTTCAAATCACAGCGTTTCCTGGGTACTTAGATATGTTCCAAAACAGGGGGTACAAGACTGGAGAGCTCGTACAGAGGGTAGAGGGCTTGCTTGGTTCGATCCCGGGCACCATATATAATCTCCCAATCCCCACCAGAAGTAACTCATGAACAATCCTGGGTGTGCCTCATCCCAAATATAGAAAAATAAAAGTGGGGGCAAACAGCCTGATGAGGAGGGGAGACACTCAAGCCAGCAGAGGTAGCTCGGGCCCTCTGTGGGGGAGTCCTGCAAGCTTTTCTGTGTATAAAATCAGGTGGGTCAGCAACAGGGGTGCTGGGGGGGTCCTTCCAGATGAGAGGGGGCCTTCAAGCCAGGGGCTTCCTCCTAGAGCTTGCCTATCTTTGAGAGTCTTGCATTCAACGAGAGAGACATAAAACACTGCATGTAAGAATTTCTTCCCACTTCGTTTTTACTTGCAAGACAAATCTGCTTGGTGGAGCATATTGGGGTTCATGGATCCTTTCCCTGTCATGTTCTCCAGGTCACTGTTTGGTGTTTTGGTCAGGTTTGGTCATGAATGAAAACCAGTGGTGCCTTGGTCAGGCACTCGGATACATAAACAAGACTTACAGTGCGTCCAGTGAGCTGTTCTGATGGCAGCGACTGTAGGGGACTCCACATCCCTTTGAGCTATTGGGGAACGTTGCGTACCGCGTCCAAAGGATGATGGGTGCATGGAGAAACCACTCCGGGAGACAGCTGATGGCAACTCACTTTATTGCCAAATGCACACATATTTTATAGAGGGTCTCAGCTTAAGAGGATGGTCCAATCACAAAAAGTTTAGCTTTAATGACTTATCCCCTTCCAACTCTGCTTTGCCCCAGCCTAATCCCAATTAGGGCTGGATGCTGCAGTTAGGAATGCAGTTAGGTGACAATTCTTGGGGCATGAGACTTAACACGGGATACCTGGTGCTTGTAAAAATGCACCCAGACACTCCCTACTGGGTCTCTATGTAGGGACATATCTGCTCTGGTGCCTGCTGCTATGCTCCATACTGAGCCAGTGATCTCCTGGTCTTCCATGGTGTGAGAGGAGACCAGAATCCCATAGCATGGAGCCCAGCAAAGGGCCCCTTGTCTTGTTTCTGGTCCTAAGGGGTCTGTTCCTCACTGGCCCTCCATGAGGTTGCTCAAGCAGCAGCTGTCCAATGAAAAGGGAACTTTTCTGGTTGAGGGACACTGAGTTAACTCAGATGACTAAGTAGGTACTAGTTCTCCATGCTGGGCTTCCAGTATGACCCAGCTGGTCTTGAGAATCCCCCCCTTTTTTCTTCTGGCTTTTGGGGTCACACCCAGTGATGCTCAGGATCACTCCTAGTTCTGCACTCAGGAATTACTCCTGGCAGGTTTGGGGGACCATATGGGATGCTGGGGATCAAATCCAGGTTGGCTGTGTGCAAGGCAAATACCCTACCCATTGTACTATCGCTCCAGCCCTGATAACTTTTCAACCCGATCAACTGGGCAAACCAGATCCCTGAAATGCCAAGGTCTCTACATCAGAGTCTAACGGGTTCAATTCTTCCTGAGTTCTAAAAAAAAAAATCTCTGAGGGAATGTCCCATATGTGTCCCACATATTATTAACGCAGAAACCCAAGCATTCACATCTAGAGGTGGAGATTTGGATTACCCAAAAATACACAAAACGCCCAAGTGGTAGAATTCTGCCAACTATATCTGGTGTTGCCCAAGGCGAAGCACAATGTACCCAGGTGCCCCTGCTCTGCTCCCAGTGTTCTGGCTCCCGGGCCCCTGTGCCCTCTCCACTACTCCATAAACTCTTTTTTTTTTTTTTGTTATTGCTTATTCTTTTTTTTTTTTCCCTTTATTTTATTTTATTTTTTTTAAAGTTGTAGATTTACAATTTTTTGTGCTTTGGTTTCAATTATACAATGATCAGATACCCATCCCTCCACCAGTGCCCATTTTCCACCACCATGGATAATATCCCTCCCACCCCCATCCCCCCATCCCCCCGTCTCTGTGGCAGGGCAATCCCCTGTGTTCTCTCTCTCCTTTTGGGTGTTTTGGTCTGCAAAAGAGGCATTGAGTGGCAAACATGTTCAGTCCATAGTCTACTTTCGACATGCATCTCCCCTCCTGGGAGGATCCTCCAAACATCCTTTATTTGGTGCTCCCTTCTCTAGTCCATAAACTCTTAGTTCTTCCCCAGCCTCGGTCATTCGAGAGAACAGAATGAGTTTGTGCATCCAGGACAAAGAATTGAGGACAAACTTCAAGAACACCTACTCTTAGAGTCAGAATGGACTAAAAGACTTTCAAAAAGGGAACTGCACACTGGGCCACACCTTCACAGAGGTTAAAGGAAAAAACACAATATGTGAAATTAGATCTCACATGCAGGAGGCCCAAGTCTATCTTTTAGGAGCGATCCTCCGAGAACAGAGGCAGGATCTGCTCCTTTCCCACCACAGAAAAAGAGATTTCTCTTAAGGGGAGAGTTGGAATGTAGTCCCCCCATTACGACAAATTATGCAGTCCAGTTTCCCACATTTGGGGAAACTGCAGGTGTCAGCACAACCAGACCAGAGGACAACAGATATGCCTCACCCTGGGAAAACCACCTTACTTGACAGGGGAGAGATTCCAGAGATATCAGAGATATCACTTTCTCATTGGAGAAAGACAGTCATCACTGATAGCACTGTAGCACTGTCCTCCCGTTGTTCATCGATTTGCTTGAGCGGGCCCAGTAACGTCTCCATCGTGAGACTTGTTGTTATTGTGTTTGGCATATTGAATATGTCACGGGTAGCTTGCCAGATTTTGCTGTGCGGGCAAGATACTCTCTGTAGCTTGCCAGGATCTCCGAGAGAGGTGGAGGGATGGAACCTGGCCCGGCCGGTCCGACTGTGTGAAAGGCAAATGCCCTACGGCTGTGCTCCACCCTTTGTTGTTACTATTTTTAGCACATTGAATACGATACGGGAACTTGCCAGGCTCTGCCATGCGGGTGGGATACTCTTGGTAGCTTGCCGGGCTCTCCGAGAGGGATGGAGGAATGGAACCCGGGTCAGCCACATGCAAGGCAAATGCCTTACCAGCTGTGCTATCACTCCAATTAGATTACTGATAAGCCTTCAATAAATTAAGCCAGCTCACAATTTACATGAACACTTTCAACTCAGCGGTTAACTAATTCAGTGCAGGGATGGTAGGGAGGGGTTGGGATTCGTAGGGAAGCCCCAACCTGGTATTGGATTGAAGAGATTAAAATCTGACCAATGGGAGGAGAGCAAAGGACACACCCCAAGGCCTATAAAATCAGTCTCATCAAGGACTGGAGAACTCATTGCTTCTTCCCTGGACTCCAGAGACAGGCTGCTCTGCAGGAAAGAGGAGCTTGGAGCACACCTACTTGCCTTGGACTCAGCAGAACCCAGACCTGAGCTGCGCATAGCGAAGAGCATCGGGTTGGGAGCAGGACACAGTAAGTAGGAATGAGGCAGCTACGTGGGGTGCCCACAGCAGACAGACTGGGGCATCAGGCAGTGAAGGAACTTGGCAAAATCTGTGGTTCCAGAGGATTCCAGGTTGAATTGACTTGAACTTTTTTGCCAGGGATTTTTTGGGTGGCATAGTTCAAAACCTGGGGTGCCTTTGGAGAAGCAGAAAGTGGGGAGATGGGGGACTCACATTGCAGGGCTCTTTGGCGGGTTCCAGCTGAGGGATGTGTGGGAAATTGTGGAATTTCCAAAGCTGAACCATGGGGGAAATCAAAGCTCTAAGACAGAGATCCATGCCATCTTACCAATTATGGCACCTTTTTTTTATTTTTCAAATGACTCCCAAATTAAGATTTTGATAAATGTGTTTCCACAACTGTAGATAAAGTGTTGGCAGAAATACTTATATGTCTATATATTCCTGCAATTTCATTTTAATCAGTGATGTGGGAATTTCTCATGATAATGACAAGATTTCAGGGACTTCCAATTTTATTTTTCTTTAAGTAGTTCTGAGGGTGTAGAATGAGTTCCCAGAAGTGTGACCCCCATAACGTAAGTGATAAAATGTTGTTTATAAATCTATTATTCATGTATATTTTTATATATTCTTTTCTTAGGAAAGTGGTGGATATTATCACAAGTTATCTACAGTCTGGATTTTGTGCTCTGACTACACCAATTGGATTTTCCGTCAATACTCTGAGTTGAGCATCCTTCGCACCCCCAGGAACAACTGAAGCTTTCATTTCCTGTCCCCGGGGAAGACCGGGACTGGTTCAGGAGGAGCAGAAACCCGAGCTGCCCCTGCACTATGGCCCTGAACGCCGCCCTGGCCGAGCTGCAAGCAGAGACCCGCTGCCCGCTGTGCCAGGGGCCTCTGCGCGCGCCCCTGACCCTGGACTGCGGCCACAACTACTGCAGCTCGTGCCTGCGGCGGCTCTGGCAGCACCCGTGGGAGCCCCTGCCCTGCCCCGTGTGCCAGCACCCCTGCCCCCGTGAGCCCCGCTGGCCCAACACGCAGCTGGCGCGGCTGGCTGACTTGGTCAGCCGGCTGCCCGGCCCGAGGCCAGAGGGACACAGGCGGAAGGCCCCAGGCCACTGTGCCGCACACCAGCAGGTCCTGGGCCTGTTCTGCGACGACCACCTGGAGCTGCTGTGTGGTCAGTGCGGAGCCTCCGCAGCCCACCGCGGCCACCGCCTCACGCCCGTTGGCCCCGCAGCTGCTTATCACAGGAGGAAGCTCAAGGGCTATCTGGAGGCTCTGCAGAAGCGGCTGGAGGAGGCGCAGAGGGCCCAGGAACGGCAAATATCAAAGAGACACGAACTGCAAGAGGAGATGGAAAAGCAGAGGACTGAGTTGTACTGGGAATTTAAAGAGTTTAAGAACTTCCTGCAATCAGAGCAGAACTCCTTGGACAACCGCGAAGAAAATCACATGAGGGCGGTTTTCCAGGAGGGCATCAGAAGCAGGAAGCAGCTGTCCGCCCGCAGCTCTGCTCTAAAGGCCGCCCTGCGGGACATCACCCAGCTCTACCTGCAGACTGACCAGAACTTGCTGGCAGGGGTCAGGAAGGCACAGCTGCAGTGGAGTCAGTGGGACAGCGCCCAGCTCCCTGCGACATTTGCCTACCACCCAACCCAGCAGACCCGCACCTTCCCCCCACATCACATTGGCCTGCAGAACATCCTGAGCAAGTTCCAGGTGGACGTGACCCTGGACCCTGAAACCGCTCACTCCAGTCTGTTGGTCTCCCCGGACAGGAGAATGGTGATCTACTGCCCCGAGATCGCGCAGCAATCCTGTGCCCCTCTCCCCAACACACCCACGTCTCACGTTGCCGTCCTAGGGGCTCAGGGATTTCATGGCGGCAGACACTTTTGGCAAGTAGAAGTCAGTGGCATGGGGGTGTGGTCGGTGGGCATATGTGAGGACTTCCCCAGAAATGCTCCTGACACACCATCCCCAGAAAGGGGCTTCTGGCAGCTCATTCTGATGACCAGACAGCACCTCGACTCGCTGGCTGAGCAGATCCGCGTGGGCATTTTCCTGGATTATGACTTGGGACAAGTTTCCTTTTATAATATGAATAACCGGTCCCACTTCTATACCATCACAGACACGTTCACAGAAAGGCTTCTGCCCTACTTCTCTGTTGGGAATTCTTCCAGCACGTTTTACCTGAGTGTTGTCAGAGACGAACGCTGATGGCCTTGTGGACATTCTGTAATGGGAATAAAGTTAGAGTCTTGTCTAATGTGGCTGCTGAATTTTTCTCCCCACCCTCTGCTGTCACTCTGGACCCTGCCTGTGAGCCACGTGGCAGAAAATCTTGTGGCTGTCTCTAGGGTTTGGGGGGAGTTTTCCATGAGTTACCCCTGCTAGGGAGTTCTCCCACTGCTCCATTCCCCCCACAACCATGACACTCAAGAGTGGCCTTTTCCCTTCTCCCTTATGCTGGGATATGTGGTCACCCTCTTTCCTGAGACTCACTAGGTACAATGTGAATCCCAACATTGCACCATAGCTGAATTATAAGTCATCTTATCTACCTTTATTAACTCCCTCAAAATTAATTTTAACGTTAGAACCCACCACTTTCTCTAAACCAACTGATCTCCTTTCCCACACCCATATTATACTCCTCTGATAACCTAAATTACTTCTGGGGCTGGAGCAATAGGACAGTGGGTAAGGCGTTTGCCTTTCCCATGACCCACCTGGGTTTGAGACCCACCTGGGTTTGATTCTCAGCACCCTCCAAGCAGGAGCCAGGAGGAACTCCTGAGTATCACCAGGTGTGGCTCCAAAATAAAACAAAACCCCTTAAATAACCTCAATCATTTCTTTGTCCCCTGAAGAACTGAATTGTGATTAGACCGTTGGAGCTATGTGAGCGGCCATAATAGTACTTTGAATACGCACATGCTCTTGGTGGGATTCATGGGGGTGTTTCTCTTCTCTAAGATGTGAATTTGTATTGTAATGAGCCTCATCCCTCATGGGAAGATTGAAGAACCATTAACACCTTCCATTCACATTTTGTTGGCCACACCTGGTGGCACCGAGGATCCAGCTGAGACCTCGGCCATATCAGGCGTGAGCTGTCTCCCACCATGTACCAGGCACTCAGGTGGAGATTGGGGAGCACCAGGACCATAATTGGAAGGACTGAGGGTGGACTTGGCTCTAGCTGATGATATTTGGCATTGAACTGTGGTCTGGAACCTTGAGCCCCCAAGTCCTCATGCTCTCACCCTGACCTTGAGGCACAGAACTCTGTCCTTAGAATAGGAAGTGGGGAGAGGCTGAGCTCCAGTCCCCTCACACAATCATCATAGATTCACATCACTGAGTGGGAGAGAAGACCATATGGTGTGAACAGGTGCTAGAATCACCAATGGCCATGATCTTGATAACTGTCCTCCACCTTACTGTTGGACATCAGATTGCATCCTTATTCCAGGGTAAAGCCCTCCAGGTAAATGGGGGCTAAGACTCTTGCTTTTGCCTGGCCCACGAAGAAACCAGCCCTTTTACCTACATGTGACTGCTAGCAGGCAAATTCCAAGGCCAAGACCACATTCCACAGACCAAGCAAGCGCAGCCCATTAGCACAGGCAATCCTGTTGCTTGCGTGCTCTGGCTTGGCCCAGAAAGTGTGTTCTATGACCGAGAGCCAGGCTCATTCTTACGCTCACCTCGTCGCTCATTCACAACATCCCCTCTACCACCCAATGCAGCAGGGAAACCTGGGTGATGCCCAACACTGGCCACCATCTCCCCTACATGCAACTCAGGGCCTCTTGATCTTGGTGTTCAGATGCCTCTGGGCACTTGTTATTTTAGAACAAAGCACCGCCCAGATTTATTCCAACTTGACACACAGTTGTTGGGGACACTTGTGACTGCACCCCAGATGCCCTCCTGTTTCATTAACTTTGGTGTGGCGGGTCCCCCAGGCACTGGGCAACCTTGACTCCTGGGTAGCCTTCCTGCTTGTTAAACCTGACACACAGATGCCCGTCGTGCCCTGCACTTCATGCTCCTGCTCACTACCTAGATCCACCCACATTCGTGCGCAGTTCCTCCAGGCCACTTGGATTTGGAGTATTTTGGATGCAGCAAGTCTTGCTTGAACTTGGTGCCATGATCTTGCCAAGAACTCCAACTTTCCCAGCATGGCACAGTCCACAGGTCTGCTTGGCACTGGCACCTCCAGGTGCTGCCATGTGATCGCAAAGCAAAGCCCTGGTAGTGGTGCCATCCAGCTGGGTGCTGCCTCTATTGGGCACCCCTGACTGGGAGCCTCCCTGAGTCATGGCCCAGATGTAAGCAACCTTGGCCTGCCACAAGTGCCAGGCACTAGCGAACTTGTTCCCGGGGTTTCCATCCTGACTGCTTCATCTCTGTGCTACAGCTGCTACAGGCATCTAAGACCATTTATTTTGGCAGTTCCCATGATGACACAGATGCAGAATCACGGATACTGCCTGGGTTTTTTTTTTTTTATTTATTTATTTTTTTAAAAAATTTATTTATTTATTGAATCACTGTGGGAAAAGTTACAGAGCTTTCGGGTTTAGGTCTCAGTCATGTAGATACCGAACACATTTCCCTTTACCAATACTCATTTTTAACCCCGAACCCCAATAGACCCCCACCTCCCACCCCTCCCAATTCTTGTGAGGCAGATGAGTTCTAGTTAATACTCTATCTACTTTGACTAGATAGATTATTTCGATAGAAGATGCACAATTATTGTTTAGAGTTTATGACCCACCCCCCCCAATCAGACATGCTGAAACAGCGTTGTGAAATGATTTGCTTTCTACAACTTGGTTTAAGAATAAAATGATGTCGCGGCCGCGCGGTTTTGAATTTCTGCTATTTTACTTATTGACCCTGGAAGAATTTCTATTAAAAGTTAGCTAGTTAAGAGATTGATTTCTGTGCCCTGGAGTCGTGGCCGTGCCGGAGAGCCGCTCGTGGGGGGCAGCTGGCGACCTCGGTGGGGCGTGGGGGACGGCCCACAAAGCCCCCCTTCCCATGAGGTCCCCGCCGCTCCCGCGAGCCTGGCTCAAACCCGCTTTCCACAAGGCTCCCGTGCGGCCGCCATCTTTCTTTCCAGAGAGGAGCGGGCGGGCCGGTCAACGCCCTTCCCCCTCCGGGCACTGCCTGGGTTTTGAGCCCTCCGTGAACCTCCTTTACCTGATTGAACATGAACCCGCCCCCTGACCCTAGCACTGCTCTAAGAGTAATGACAAATGAGTAACTTACCTGCTCTGGTGGATAAGGACAACAGCTGGGGCAAGAACCCAGAACTATCATTCTTTGCACACGGTACTAATATATACAGAAAATGCCAAAGGCTACCCTAAAAACTATCATGAACAACAAACCAATACAGAATACAACATTAATATATAAAAATGCTTTGCAGATGTATAAGAAAATAGCATACTGGAATGGAAAGAAGTAAAGAAAATATTCTCATTTATAGATACATCAAAAAAAATCAAGTAAGTTCTGGGGTGATAATACAGTGGGTAACAGTACAGTGGGTACTTGCCTTACAGGCAACCAACCCAGGTTTGATCCCTGGTACCCTACCAGAAGTGATCCCTGAGTGCAGAACCAGGAATAAGCTCTGAGCACGGCCAGGTGTGGCCCCAAAACAAAACAAAACAAAAAGTAACTAGGAATCAAATTTTACAATGGGGGCAAAAGATTTGTACATTGAAAACTATGTCATTGCTAAAAGAAAAAGAGGAAGGCTCAAGCAAATGGGAAAATGTTTCATGTTCACAGGTTGAAGAATTGATGTTGTTAAAATAACCATCCTATGCAAAGCATAATACATATTCCACTAATCATTTTCAAAACTCCCAGTGACGCTCCTCAAGGACATAGAGCAAACATTGCTTAACTTTGCACAGAATTCAATTCCTAAAATAGCTCAATTCTTACATGGGAGACATTGGGTTTTACTTAGATGGCTGTCTTTTGAAACTGGGTTTGTTGAAATTTAGTCAGAGAAATTTCATACCTCTTTTGAGAGATCTTTTAACTGCAGTTCTCCCTTTTTTATTATTTAGTTATTTATTTTTGTTCTTTTTTGGGGGGAGGAGGACGCACATGTGCTGTGTCCAGGGCTTACTCGTGGCTCTGTGCTCAGGAATCACTCCTGGCAGGGCTTGGGGAACCCTATGTGATGCTGGGGACTGAATCCAGGTCAACCATATGCAAGACAAGTGCTCTACCTTCTGTAAGTTGCCCCCTTTAAAAAAAATTATTTCCTTTTTTTTTTTTTAACAAATAGGGTTATGTCCTGTAGAATTTCTCTCATTTGTGTGCCATTTCCTCATGGAGTCATTACACTCATTTTCTCCATCACTATGTCTGAAGATATAGGGAGTTTTTGAAGTTAAGTTCACTTTCAGAAGAAAAGTTATTCAGATGGTTCAGTATAGTCCATACAGCATCAAAGTAGGGTGCATAGAATGTCAAATTGCTCTCTTGATCATACTGTGATTGATTGGTGGGTTAGTGTGGGACACAGCTCAGTGTAACTATACCCAGTAGAGTTCAGGTTCGTTATCCAACTGAGGGTGAGATAATATTTTATTTTTTTGTGAATGGAGGAACCACTGGCATAATATTCAAAAGATATCATTGGCCTTTAGAAATATCAAGTCTATGGGACCAGAGCAATAGCACAATGGTTTGGGCATTTGCCTTGCATGTGGTCAACCTGGGTTTGATCCCTGGCATCCCATATTGTCCTTTGACTATTGCCCCAAAACAAAACAAAACAAAGAAATACTGAATCTACAAGTACATTGTGAAACGTTAACAGATTTGGACAAAATTTCTGTGTTTATTTTTATTTTATTCTGTTTCTTTTTTGGGTTATCCATACCCAGTGATGCTTAGGGATTATTATTGGCTCTGCATTCAAGAATCACTTCTGGTGGTGTTTGGGGGACCATTCGGGATGCTGGGGATCGAACCCAGGTTGTTTGCATGCAAGGCAATCAACCTAATGCCACACTGTTTCTCCAGTGATATTTTTGTATTTAAAATAAATATTCTTTTGAGAGCAGCCAAGGTTAAAAACTAAATATTTACTGTGGCTTATACTTTAGCAAAATTCTAAAACAATTCAAATTAATCTGGTGACGAATATGGAGGAGGATAATGAATAATATTTAAAAACAATTAATAGTAAGAAAATGCAAACAAGATGAGAACGCTATTCAGGTCTCCCAAAGAAGAATAGAAAGAGCTATGCTTGGAATATCACGTTTCACTCAAATGAGAGAACTAATCTGGAGTTCTGACATCTGTCGACGATCAAGGATCAGGGACGCTGTCTCATTTGCCAAGGTGTCGAAAATCAGATGGTCTGGTCACGTAATGAGATTTAAAGACGACCGTTGGACTAGAGCTGTTACTGATTGGATTCCACGGGATGTCAAAAGACCGCGTGGCCGCCCACCTACCAGATGGTCAGACTTCTTCATCAAGATCATGAACGATCGGTTTGAGGCCCTTCATGTTCCCGGAGCGAACAGATGCCATTGGGCTACACTAGCACGCGACAGGGACAAATGGAGACGTTACTGGCGCCCGCTCGAGCAAATCGACGACTAACTGGAAGTTAAGAGTTAAGTGATTTAAGTGATTAGAATAGTAAGAAGACCTCTATGGGATGTGAAAGTGGTCCACACACCTGTGGATTGCAGGACACTTGGGGAAGGAGCAGTCCTCAACAGGCTTTAATTGAATTGCAAATAAAACCCCTAGAGGCATTACTTTATGCTTTATTTATTTTTTAAACTTTATTTTCCTGAACCATATGCAGTGCCAGGGATTGAATCCTCTGGGTCTCATGCAAGGCAAGTGTTTTACTTCTAGACTATCTCTCTGGCCCGTATTTGCTTTTTGTTCAACTATGCTCAGGGAATAAATGGGAGTGGTCAGAGAAGTGGGTGGTGTTAAAATGACACAAAAACATAAAATGTTTAACTTATTTCACAGTAGGGTTTTCCTACATGCGGGAACACATTGAACAATGATGGATCTCTCTGCTGATAAACGATCACTGTATCACACTCTATCACTGTTGTCCCATTGTTCATCGATTTACTCGAGTGGGCTCCAGTAACCTCTCCATTCGTCCTAGCCCTGAGATTTTAGCAGCCTCTCCTTACTCATCTTTCCCGATGCTGCTCTACTGGAGGCTCTTTCAGGGCCAGGGGAATGAGACCTGTTATTGTTACTGTTTTTGGCATATCGAATATGCCAGAGGTATCTTGCCAGGCTCTGCCATGCAGGAAGAAAATGCTGCATTGCTCTCTTCCGGGAGCTTTCTTTTATGGTCACTGGATTTTGGCGGTTGATGAGATTATATGGTGCTAGGGGCAGTTTGTGGGTGTGACTGCCAAGCTACTGGAAAACTGGGGATCTGAATGAAGGAGGCCCAGTCCTGATCCAAGCATGCTTGGAGATCTCAGCCACACGTCCCACATACCTGGGTTCCTCTGTTGGTTCCCTCATGGGTGAGGCTTGTCTGAGCATGTGGAGAGTGGCCTTGAGTATGACTGTGACTGGGTTCTGGAGGTTTTCGGCTAACGAGGCTCTTTTTGGGGTGGGGAGGGAAACTCAACCCGGCCCCCTCTGAGGGGGCCCCCGTGAAGACAGCCTGGCTTGGGGGCAGGAGATTCTGATAAATGATAAAAAGGAGAAATAAGGCAGTTTTAGAGTATATCATGTGCCTCCTATGGAAATAGGCAAAGGGGAATGTTCTAGTTAGAACCACACATGAGCCCCATAGAAACTTTACTTAAATGAAACTATTGGGTAAGATCCTGGGAAAAGCCACCAGCTGGGATTTCTCTAGAAAAGCCAGAAAGGGCAAGGCAGTCACTCTAACCATCCACACCCACTAGGCCTTTCTGCCATGTGCCGCCATTTTCCTCCCTGCAGAATTTTTCGTGGGAGATGGTTCTGGAGAGCTGGCATTTTTGTGTCTGGTTTAAGGAAGCGTTAGTGCCGGCCTCAGAGTAAATGAGCATCAACAATTTCCTCTGCTGTCCTCCCTTCCTCCACCTCGTTTCTCCCTGCCCTGGTGGGAATTTGCTGGAAACTGGTTGTTCAAGCTGCTGGTAGATCACGGAGAGTGAGTACTCCCAGGGTTAATGGAGGAGGGTATGGTGATTGGGAACCAAAGCGGGAATGTCAGGGTCACATATATTAATATACAGACATAAGATTAGCCAGGAACTCACAAAAGTCAGAAACCCCTGGTAGAACTATTTCAGCTACATTTTGAGGTTCCTCCGCCCCGCCCAACCCGGGCAAGTATACTGCACCCCAATTGCAATTTACCTATATTCATCCTTCAGTATTGGAGTTCAGTGTTGTTCCTATCTTCATCCTTCAATGGGCAGGTTATTGTCCCACCTTTACTCTCTCCCATGACCCCCAGAATAATTGAGCGATTGAGGGGAAGGGCTGAAACCCCTGAAAATTTGGTTTTAGAGGAGCCTGTGAAATTCAAGAAGCACATCATAGTTTATGAATTCAAGAAGAGATGCGAAGATATTCTGGAAGCACCAGCTTAAAAGTTATTAAAGCAACTCTGAGTCAAGACTAGTAGAATGTCAATAGAAGGAAAACCACAGTACCATGGTCCTCCCATTGTTCATCGATTTTCTCGAGCGGACCCAGTAACGTCTCCATCATGAGACTTGTTACTGTGTTTGGCATATTGAAGACATCACGGGTAGCTTGCCAGGCTCTGCCGTGCGGACAAGATACTCTTGGTAGCTTGCCGGGCTCTCCGAGAGGGGCGGAGGAATCGAACTTGGCTCGGCCATATTGGCTGCGTGCAAGGCAAACGCCCTACTGCTGTGCTGTTGGGCTGGAGCAATAGCACAGTGGTAGGGTGTTTGAAGGAAAACAGAAAGAAGAAAATTAGATTATGTCCAATCTAGAGGAAGGAGATTAAGTACGGGTTGAGATAAGAGCAGGATGGAGAGTGTGAAAGTACCCACTACACGGATGATGGGATTAGAGAGGATGCCGAAAATTACCCACGGGAGCCGCAAACTGATGAGATTAGAAACTGGTGAATTGGAGGAGAGGAAAGGACCCACCCACAGACCTATAAAAACCTGAACAAGGAGCTGGAGAATCCATTGCTTCTCTCCTGGATCACTCAGGACAGACGGCTCTGCAGGAAGGAGGGACAGAGTGCCTCCACCTTGGACAGACTACTCACTAAGCTCAGAGTGAAGTTCAGCACAGGACAGAGGTGAGCTGGAACCACAGTGGTGAGCTGGTGGGCTAGAGATAAAAGGAAGGTCTGTGCAGTCGAAAGAAATTTCGGGCAGATAAAAAGTCATCTGTAGAATGAAAAGAGAAGGGAGCACCAGGAATTAGCTGTCTGTGAGAGTAGGAACCAAGGGTGTGGGGGTGGGGAGGGGAGGAATTTGGGACTATGGTTGTCACAGGGAAATGAAGAAAGTTCCAAAGTTGAGTTCAGAGTAAAACTCTAAGAGCAGAATAATCGACTGCTACAACAATAAATAGTAGAATGTTAGGGTGACAATTACCGTAGTTCAGGATATCAGGGAGTTGATTGTGCATTCATTTTCAATTTTATCTAAAAGCTTATAATTTCATTGTTGTTCTTTGACAGCAACAAAGACTTAACAAAGACTTCCTATTTAATTGTAAGCATTAGCCTAATATACAGTTGAGATATATTTTAGGATGTGTGTGTGTGAATACACCGAGTGTACTCTGGGCTTACTCCTGACACTGTGTTCAGTTACTCCTGGAGGATGGTGGGGGGACAGGACCATATGAGATGTCAGGGATCAAACTCAGGTTGGTCTCCTGCAGGGCAGGCGACCTACCCACTGTACTACCTCTGGCCCCTGAGATATATATTGTAATAAAATGATTATTATCATGATTATGACTTTAAATAATTAGAAAAGTTTTATTATCATGTATATCCTTCCCTCAAATGGAATGAAAGACCATAACATATATTATGTACCAGAAACCATTCTGCTAGTGACATCCTTGCACACATAGCTATGGAGTGACCTCAGACTTTCCTCCACTAAATGTTGTGACGTTAAGTTATGCTGCTCCAAGGAGTACATCTACATATACTCTACGTATCTTGCAAGTACAGAGTTTGTTACATGAAGAATCCATTTTTACATCATTTATTACTAAGCATCAGGTTTGTATCCCACTTACTAAAGTTATTTAAGTTAGAAGTTTATGTATTTGAATTTAGGACAGAAGAATGGTAAAAGAGCCAATACTCTGCTTAAGGTCTTATTCTTTCCTTGGGAAGCAAGCGGATCTTTCAAGAGTTTTCCACAATTCTGACTTTAGTTTTCTATCCCATCATTGCCTTATTCCAGCATTTCCGTCTCTACTCGGGATTGAGCATCTCCCAAGGACCAACTGACGCTTCCGTTTCCGGTCCCTGGGGAGGGCCGGAAAAGAACCAGGAGGAGAAGAGACCCAAGCTGGCCCTGCTGCCCCGCACCACGGCCCTGGCCTCCGCCCTGGCCGAGCTACAGGCAGAGGCCCGATGCCCGCTTTGCCAGGGGCCCCTGCGCGCGCTCCTGACCCTGGACTGCGGCCACAACTGCTGCGGCTCGTGCCTCCGGCTTCGCTGGCAGCACCTGCAGGAGCCCCTGCCCTGCCCCGTGTGCCAGCATCCCTGTCCCCGCAAGCCCCGCGGGCCCAACAGGCAGCTGGCGCTGCTGGCCGACCTGATCAGCCGGCTGCCCTGCTCGAGGCTGGAGGGACACGCGCAGGAGACCCTAAGCCGCTGTGCCACGCACCAGCAGGCCCTGAGCCTCTTCTGCGATGACCACCTGGAGCTGCTGTGTGGCCAGTGTGCCGCCTCTGCTGCCCACCGCGGCCACCGCCTCATGCCCATCGGTCCCGCGGCTGCTCATCACAGGACAAAGCTCGAGGGCTACCTGGAACTTCTGTGCAAGCAGCTGCAGGAGGCGCGGAGGGCCTGGGAACGGCAAGACACGGAGAGACAGGAGTGGAGAGAGAAGGTGGCAAAGCAGATCAGTGATTTAAAATCTGAATTAGAACAACTGAAATATTTCTTGAGAGCAGAGCAGGACTTCATTAACAACAGGCTACTAAGGGAGATGAGGAGAGTATCCCAGACATTCCTAAAATACCACTGCCTGTTGTCCAACTACCGCTCCACCTTACAGCGTCTGGTGACTAGCATGACCGGGCTGTGTCTGCAGCCAGACCTGGGCCTGCTCAGTGGGCTCAGGGTCGTGCACCAGGACTGGAACAAGTGTATGAGCACTGAGGTCCCTCCAGCCTTCTCCTACCAGTATATTGAGCCAACTCGGACCTTTCCCCCACATCACATTGGCCTGCACAACATAATGAGCAAGTTCCAGATGGATTTCACCCTGGACCCAGAAACCGCTCACCCCAATCTGATCATCTCTTCGGACAGGAAAACTCTCAGTTGCCACCAGGGAAGCATAGAGACCACCTGGGACCCTCACCCCAGGGCATTCATCTCCCAGGAAGCAGTCCTGGGTGTGGAAGGGTTCCAAGGCGGCAGGCACTTCTGGCAGGTGGAAATCCGAGGCTTGGGGGTGTGGGCTCTGGGTGTGTGCGAGGAATCCTTCCCCAGAAACGTGCCCATGACACCTGCCCCATCTGACGGCCTCTGGCAGCTTCAGCAGTTCACTGGCCTTCAGCTCGACTCACGCCAAGCACAATGTCGTGTTGGTGTGTTTCTGGACTTTGAGTTGGGAGAAGTTTCCTTCTACAATTTGGACAAGAGGTCCCACATCTGTACCCTCACTGGAACCTTCGCAGGAAAGCTCCTGCCCTATTTCTGTCTTAGATCCTCATCCTTGGCCTTTTCTATGACTGTTGTCAGCAATGAATGATGAATCCCTTGTCCACGTTCTCTGTTTTGTTTGTTTCCTATGTAACAGAAAGTTCTGGTAATGAAGTCGGGTACTTTCTGATATGGGTGTTGGTTATATCTGTCCTCCCTCCCGCCTCCACCTTCACTCTACCACCAGCATCTGGTAAAGTTTTCAACAAAGCCGGTGCTCCCTGAGTTTTTGGTAGGGTACCCCCGGAAGGACTGTGGCTGAGAACATCTATCCCAGGACTCCAACATCCAGGAGTTTTGAGATGTGATTGCCCTGTACCCCAAATATTTCCTCAGCAAGTAACAAATGATCCCTCTCCAACCCTCTTGGTGCATTTGTGAACTCATCTGTTCCACTCTGGAACTGAATTATGTGTGTGTGTGTGTGTGTGTGTGTGTGTGTGTGTGTCTATTTTCATATCACCCAAACTAATATTTCTATTTGCTTTCTAAATAAAATTACTAAGAACAAAATTTTATTGGTAGCACATAGTCTAAGCAAGCACAGTGGAAACATCTCTCTTGATGCTTTGTGTATTCCAATGTCTTAACACCTGAACCCGAGTTTCTTTTTCAATAAAGCAGGAAGAATAAGTGAAAACATTTATAAGTTACAGCTACCTGTTCCTCTAACTACCTTTGCTTTCCATCTTGCACCCATACATGTCACCTCTGGTATCCTCTAGCACGTCTCTGTTGAGAGCAGAACCAAGTTGTGAAGTTATGTGCATGGACTTAACAGTAATATAAGTTATATGTTCAATCTCATTAAATATTTTGTTCCCTGTATATGTGATATGTTTCTGTTTTTCTGCTATACTCTATTTGTGACTCTCCATTTTTCTTGGGTAAGCATGAGAATCATTTTACTTTGCATGCAATTTTAATATCGACCAAAAGAGCTTTACACTACTGGTTCTTCTAACTATATCTTATGCATCTTTACAGGGGATGAACATTTTAAAATGATGTAATGTCATGGGTAAGAGTCTGGCTAGTTTGGTGGCAGTAAGAGAATTCGCTGAAGGCTAGGATAAAGACAAAAACCAGATTTATTGAGTACACTGCAAGAAGGTGCAAGTTAGCTTGATTCTTCAAGCTAGCAAGGAGCCAGCAAGGGGCACTCAGTGGTAGAGCTGAGGATGTGGATGTTCCTTGCTTGTGTGTTTACCACTATTGCGCTGACAGTTCTAACAATGCTGCAGCATATTTTCTAGATGTGATTTCTCCAACTTAGGTTCTTTTCCTTTATGCACAAACAGCAGGGTATTCTGAGAATGGGATGTACTGTGGGAAACCAGTCTGCACAATTGTGCTCACTTTAATTTGTACTGCACATATAGATGACATAGGTCTACATTGGAAAACACCAAACACTTTTCAGTTCAATGAAACAAAGCAAAGAAAATACCGTGTTTGGTTTGCAAATGCCGGAAGAATGCTCTTTCTAAGCTTGTGAAGAGAAGGAAGAGGAAGAGGAATATTTCAGAGAAGATTTTATGCATTATGCATGTCAATAAAACAAAAGACAATAGTCATAGGATAATAGCAATAGATACTGAGAAAGCATTGACAAGGTTAAGATTTATTTATGAAAACAGGTGGGAATAAAAATGAAATTCCTATACTCAGCACTCAGTTTGCAAACAATGGACACATACTATAAATTACAATCATATCCTACTCAATGGTGAGAAACTGAAATGTCTTTCTTTAAATTCTGGAACAAGACAAGATGGTGTCTCTCACCACTTCTGTTGATATAATGTTAAAGGTCTTAGTCATAGTCATTGCAATTACACCACAAGCAATAAAAGAAATCTAGGAGCAGAAACATAGCAGAGGGATTAATGCACTTGCCTTGCCTGAGACTGACCCCTTATTAGGTTCCTAGCACCACATATGTTCCCCTGGGCACTGTCAGGAGTGATCCTTGAGCATCTGTGTCAAGAAGTAAGCCTAAGTACTTCCAGCATGACTCAAAAACCCAAACAGAAAAATAAAGAATTAAAAAAAATCTCAAAGGAATCTAGATTGCAAGAACATTAAGACTATTTGCAAATAGTATGATGATATCTATAGAAAGGTAAAAACTACTAGCAACAATAAATGAAGTCAGCAGAGAGGAAAATGGCAAAGTCACTTGCAACACGCAACCATTAGCTAACAGTTTTCCACACACCACAACTGAAAAGAACTCAAAAGTCAGGTCCTGCAGACCCTGAGTCTTGTCCCAGGACATATCAGAGAAACCATGTCCTCAGAGTAGAAAGGTCTTGGGGATGAAGAATTCTGACGTGCTCAAGTCCCCACAGCATTTGCCTTGTACACTGCTGACCCAGGTTCGGTCCCTGTTGTCCCATTTGGTCCCCTGAACATTGCCAGAGGTAATTCCTGAGTGCAGACCCAGGAGTAATGCAGACCCAGGAGTAACCGACCCCTGAGCATTGCTGGGTGTGACCCAAAAAGCCCCCCCCCAAAAAAGAGAGAGAGGGAGAGAAAGAGAGAGAGAATATTCTTAAGGGACTGGAGCGATAATATAGTGGGTAGGGCATTTGCCTTGTATATGGCCAACCTAGGTTCAATCCCCATCATCCCATATGGTCCCTTGAACACCACTAGAGGTAATTACTGAGTGCAGAGCCAGGAGTAAACCCTGAGCATCGCCAGGTGGACTCTCCCCCCCCCCCCCAGCCAAAAAAAAAAAAAGAGGACAAGACAGACATAGGAGAGAAAAGCATAAGATCAAGGGGCTCACAGTCTTGTGGACTGAGCCCTAATTCTCCATTAGGTTCTGTATTGTCTTTTTTTTCCCTTAAATTTTTATTAGTGAAACACCATGAGGTACAGTTGTAGACTTACAAATCTTTGTGCTTGGGCTTCAGTTACACAATGATCGAATACCCATCCCTCCACCAGTGCCCATTCTCCACCACCACTGGTCCCAGTATCCCTCCCACCCCCCAACTCCCCCAAAAGGGAATGCCCTGCCACAGAGGTAGGTTCTGCATTGTCTTAAACTAACACTCATAGAAAGAGCAAGGATCATCGTTTATAAACATCTGCTCCTCAATGCTCAGCTAACCAGGTGACGCTAATGTAAGTCAACCGTGACTGAGGCGACCCTCTGAAGTGTATTATCTCTAAGGAATCTTCTCTGGGAGAAGTAGCAGAGATAAAGGCAGTTACAACACCCATGAAGGAGCTGAGCTTTCACCCTATCGATGCTGGCTTTCTGGGCAGTGAAGTTCTCAAAAAACACTCTATGCAGCCTCAGTCTATTCTACTTAATCTTGGCTTTTTGGATCACATCTGGTGATACTCAGCGGTTCCTCCTGGCTCTGCACTCAGGAATTACACCTGGTGGTGCTCGGGGGACCATATGGGATGCTGGGAATTGAACCTGGGTTGACCACGTGCAAGGCAAATGTCCTACCTGCTGTGCTCCAGCCCCTCTACTTTAATCTTTTTAACTAAATTTAATTGTATCTATTCCTGACAGCAGGTGACATCTTTGGCTTTTCAGCACAAAGCACCAGACTGTTACTCTCAACACACAGGAGTCACTGGGTTTACTGACAGCCCAGCCGTGGCAACGCTCCCTGCTCTGCTCCTTGTGCACCATCTCAGAGGAAAAAGCAAGCAGCCTTTTACAGGGTGGTGTGTACGAGGAGGCGCAGGAAAGACATGTACTGGGGCTGGAGCGATAGATAGCACAGCAGGTAGGGTATTTGCCTTGTACGCGGCCGACCTGGGTTCGATTCCCAGCATCCCATATGGTCCCCCGAGCACCGCCAGAAGTAATTCCTGAGTGCATGAGCCAGGAATAACCCCTGTGCATCACCGGGTGTGACCCAAAAAACAAACAAACAAACAAAAAAGACATGTACTACACATTCTGAAAGCACTTATTGCAAGCAGGGTCAACCTTACAATTATAAGGGGCAAAACCCCCAACATCTTAGGGGTACTTACAGAATGTACTTGCACAAAGTAAAACAGGATGTTGTGGTCCTCACTTCCTTTTTGGCTTGGGTCTCATTTGCTCAGTAACAATGCTCCCTGGCATTGTTTTATTGAGCTCACATTTACAGGAGGGGACAGGGACAGTTGCTGGAAAGCAAAAAGGGAAGGTTTATTTTTGGGGGGGGGCTGCTTATTGCTCATCCCTTTCTGGTCAACTCTTGGGGGCTCGATCCTCACCTTTAGCTTCCCCCCCAACTGTGCCTCACAACATATTACACAACAGGCAAAACTCAATTCCAATCACGTCTTCAAGTCTGCCTAATGTTTACAACAACACAGGAGTGGGGTAGAACAAGCGAACTCCGTCCCAGCCGCTGCTGCTAAAATCTGGGGACTAGAAAGGACAGGACATTTTGACACGCATTCCCCAGGATGTCACACATAGGTGGAAAGTGTCTGAAGTGATGCTTCACTGGCACTCCTACCAAAGGATTCCCGGAGAAGTCATATTTTATCCTCCCCCGCTCCCCCCGCCCCGGCTCCTGACTTCCAGTCTGGGAGGCATTGAGGCAGAAGTCTGGACATCAAACTCCCAGCAGGAGACCCAGAAACCCCCTTCACCTGGAAAGGAGGAACCCTCCCACCCCCAGAGAGAATAGTTGGAGCCCAGATATCTCTACAAACACACCAACTGAGGCTTCATGGGGCTTCATTGAGGACAACCACAATTCCAACAAGGGTGAAAGGGGAAGGTCACTCCTGATGTCAATGGTGGGAGCAGAGCCTCCTTCCCAATGGGACCCTCCCCCCTCATCCAGGGAGAGAATCAGTGTGTTTTCCTGACAACTTGGTCAGCTGTGAGGCCCAGGGTGACAGCAGAGAATGAGGAGTGAAATCAGCAATGCAGAAACATCAGGCAGAGCAGACAGGCTTTATTACCAACATTTGGTGAAGTGAGTAAAATGAAATTCAACAATCAGCTTTCTTCTTGGACAAGATTCATGCTGAAGTTCATGGACGTGGGTGAGGCAAAGAAATAGGGCCAAAGCTTTTCTTTAAAGGTGTCGGTGAGCGTATACAAGTGGGACCTAGTATTTAAATTGTAAAAGGAAACCTGTCCCAATTCAAAGTCCAGAAAGACACCAATGTGGCTGGAAGAGCTTTGGTGTTCCAGGGTGTGGTAGGTGGGCTGTCGGAATTTCCAGCAGTCTTTGCTCACATTCTGCTTTATAAGGTTCTTTCTGGGGAAGGATTCTTTGCACACACCTAAGGACCACACACCTGAGCCTTGGATTTTGACTTGCCAGAAGTGGCGGCCCGCGTCAAAGCCCTGAGATCCTAGGACAGCAAGGTGAGAGGTGAACGCCCGGGGGTGAGGGACAGAGGGGCGTTTCCCAATTCCAGAGTTATACAGAGCAGTTCTGCGATCTGGGGAGATGGTGAGACTGGGGTGAGCAGTGTCAGGATCCAGAGTCAAATCCACCTGGAATTTGGAGATCATGTTCTGCAGGCCGATGTAACATGGGGGGAGAGTGGGAACCTGCTTGGAGATTTGCCGCTCTAGGAGTTCTGGTAACTTGAGGCTTTCACACCTACTGGCCAGCAGCTGAACCTTGTCTGCTCCTTGCAACAGGTCCAGGTCCCTCTGCAGAAAATGCTCAGTAGCTTCTCTCAGAAGATTGTTCAGGGTGGAGCCATAGTCTGACAGCTGGCCCTGGAAACTCATGAGAGAGCGTGTAATCAGCTCCATTTCCTCGTGTGCGTTTGATTCCATGGCTTCCTGTTCATTTTTCAAGTGACATTTTAAGTGTTCGGACTCAAAGTATAAGTCACTCCTTTGATTCACCAACTTCTCTTTCAATTTCTGTCTCTTTGAGACTAGCTTTTCTAGGTCCCCTTGTGCCTCCTGCAGCTGCTTGCGCAGAGGCTCCAGGTAGCACTTGAGCTTGGTCCTGTGATGAGCAGCCGCGGGGCCGATGGGCGTGAGGCGGTGGCCGCGGTGGGCAGCGGAGGCGGCGCACTGACCACACAGCAGCTCCAGGTGGTCGTCGCAGAAGAGGCTCAGGGCCTGCTGGTGCTCGGCACAGTGGCCTGGGGCCTCCGGCGCGTGTCCCTCTGGCCTTGAGCCAGGCAGTTGGCTGACCAGGTCGTCCAGCAGCGCCAGCTGCATGTTTGGCCCGCGCAGCTTGCGGGGACAGCGCTGCTGACACACGGGGCAGGGCAGAGGCTCCCGCAGGTGCTGCCAGCGAAGCCGGAGGCACGAGCCGCAGCAGTTGTGGCCGCAGTCCAGGGTCAGGGGCGCACGCAGGGGCCCCTGGCACAGCGGGCAGCGGGCCTGTGCCTGTAGCTCGGCCAGGGCCATGGTGCAGGGGCAGCTCGGATATCTGCTCCTCGAGGTCCTTTCCCTGCCCTCCCCGGGGACCGGAAACAAAAGCGTCAGTTGGTCCTCTGGTGTGTAGGAGGCTCAACTCCCAGTAGAGGTGGAAAAAACCTAAGGCAAGGATGGGATAGAAAAATGAGACACAGACGATGGACAATATGTAACATCCACCAAGAACCTTTAAAAAATAGCACACAAGATTAAGCTAATATATGTGATCTGAGACATAACAGCTAAGAATATGCTTTGCATACACATTCCTGAAGTTGATCCCCAGTGCAACCAGGAATAAGACCTCCATCAGCACCAGGTAGCCCCTAAACAATGCTGGGCATGGCCCATAGAGGAACAAATAAGCAGCTTGCTCTTGAAGCCCTTGTTTCTCCCTTGAACACTCTCTCACTTGCTGGTCTCATGTCTCTTTACTCGCCCATTTCCACTCTGGAGAAGCTCCTGTTCTCTCTTAACAGACTTCTCTTTCCTTCTCCTCACATCAGTCTCTCTCCTTTCATCTAAGTACGCTTCAATTAAAAACTTCCTTGCTTCAAAATAGGAACAAATATATATATGTATATAATGTGTATATTAAACATATTTGGTGATGATTTGCTTAAATTAATACCCAAGCGGAGTAGGTAGGGTTATAGAGAAGATGGACAAAACTAATTCTTGATCATAATATCCTGGTGCATGAGAGTATTCTCCCTACTAGTATAGTTTACAAATCCAGCAATTTTATAAGAGCTCTGTGGGTGGGGAGCTTTGGGCAAACCATCAATTCTCAGGGGCTATTCCTAGTTCTGTGTTTAGGAGTGAGATCTGGGAATGCTTAGGGGACCAGAGGTGGAAATGGGAATTCAAACCAGGGTCTAGGCTGCCACAGTCACATGCAAGGCAAGTGCCTTCCCTCCTGGGCTATCTCTCCAGCTCCAGAAGAGCTTTTCCCTAAGTAGTAAAGTCAGCAAATGCCATGGAGCTTCATTCTTACAGCTTTGCCACCACCTCTTCCAAAGAGACTGTGCTGGTTTCAGAGCTTTGATCTCCAGGGACTCTCTCTCTCCTTCCTCTCTGCACCCTGTGCTCCCACCTTCACAAATCTCTGCCACCAGGTACGTTTTGAGGAAATATGGAGGCAAAAGCCTTTCATCTAGGGCTAGAGTGATGGTACAGCTTGCCTTGTAGGCAGCCAACCCAGGTTCCATGCCCGGATGGTTCCCTCAAGCCCCACCAGGAGTCATCCTTGAGCGCAGAACTGGGAGTAAGCCTTGAGCAACACTGGGTGTGACCTAAAAAACCAAACCAAACCCCAAATCACCTTATCTATTTGATGTGATGAGGAGTTTTGGCCTGATGGCATACCTTGTGTCTGCTAGCTGGGCTCCTTCATTCCCACCCTTGCCAGGGAGAGAACAAGGGCCACCTCATCACTCCTTGAACTGTGTGACTACAGCTATAAGTAGAGATAAAGGTCTGGGACAAGGAGAATTTGGTGGGGCCAAGAGTCCAGAGTGATGGCATTTGGATTGGTCTTTGCAGCTTTGTTGCCTATTCTCAACACAAGGCTCAACAGAGTCAGAAATTCTGAGACACGCCTTGAATCATGTGACCATTGTGGGAACAAAATCCATGCAGCTGACAAGTTACAAAGAAAACAGCATGACTGTTAGAAACAGTCATATCGGAATAGTTCACCAATCATTAACCTACCGTTATATCAAAAGGCACAGTTAGGGGCAAGATAGATAGTACAACTGGTAGGATGTTTGCCTTACAGACTCTGGTTTGATCTTAGCACTACCAGGAGCGAGCCCTGAGCAGAAGCCAAGAGCAGTACCTGTCTGAGCCCCACAAGATGTGCCCCCCCAATTATACCAAAAACCACAACAAAACAAACACACACTTATAAAACCTTAGTGTGGGGGGGGGGGTTGAAGTTGATAGTACAGTGCATAGGTGTTTGCCTTGCTCATGGCAAAGTTGGGTTTGATTTCTGGTATCCTATATGGTTTCCCAACCACAGCCAAGAGTAATTCCTGAGTGCAATGCCAGGAGTAAGCCAAGAGCATTGCCGGGTGTGACCCCAAAAGCCTAAAAATAAACTAACCAACCAACCAACCAACCAACCAACCAAAAACCCAACCCAAACCCTTCAAGTGGAGGACCCCATTAAGGGAAACAGAACAGAAATGGCACCATCATGAGTAAACATGAACAGCATGGCCAATTCCTGGACAAAGGTAGGACCCTGGGTCTCTCACACCTCCCTTATATTGGGTTCACTCAAAGCTTTAGTCCACCTCCTTCCCCTTCCTCACAACCCCTCCCCCACCATCCGACCCATAACCTCCCCTTCATCTACCCCGTCATTCACTCCGGCACACAGAACATCTCTGAAAAATGAACCCAGGCCTACTTCCTGTCAGCTCGCAGCCTCCAAGATCCTCTGCTCAGTCAGAATGGCAGCTCACCTGCGCCTAGCTCAGGTCTGCGTCCTCCTTCCTGAAGAGCAGCTATGGCTGGTCCGGACACCCCAGACTCTAGTGTTCTGGGGAGAGCTGCATACTAGTGAGATGAACATCAGGCTTTATATCCCCAAGGGTGGGTCCTTGCCTTAGTTTCTTGGTTGGATGGCCAATCACATCATCCCGGGAAGGGTTGGTTAGGACCAGATTTCCCAGTCCTGTCTAATCCCGTCTCCTGGGAGGGGCGCTTTCCATCCCTGCCCAGTGCCCCACCCCGTCCTGATCTGTCCTTACCTAATCTCATCAGTGGCTTCCCTAGCATCTGCGGCAGGCTAACTGGTCGCAGTTGTCTCCTTGGAAAAGTCTACATGCTCCATTTCCTTTCCCAGGGTTGCTCTAGGTCCCTCTGCCACTTAAGCAGGACTTTGCAGCATCTGTCCTTGTCTGGTTTCCTAGAGGCACAAACATGTTCTGGGCTTCTCAAGGTTCACAGGCCTCCAGGCAGCAGATAAACAACCTCCGGGAAGCTGCAGCAATCCTTCGCTCCTCCTGGGTTCTTGGCAGGGGAAGAAAGTAGGGGTGGGAGGCACTTGGCAGTACCAGGACCGGTGGAGAAGCTAGAAGTGAACCCATTGGCAGGGGACAAAGGAACTGATTCTACCCCTGGGAGATGTAGAAAAGGAGGCGCAGGAATCTACCAGGAGCTTCTGAAAACTTAAGAGTTCCTGGGCGATTTGGAATCTTCCTGTTTGATCTGGGTTTGTCCGAGAGTTGGTGTTCAGTGAGGTCCCGCAGTGGGTGGGTAATGGAGGTCCATGATCTCAAATTCCAAGCAGTGGCTGTGTGTGGCTTGGAAGGATGTCTGATATTGTGGTCATGGGTACTCCGTGCCAGAGGTTCAGCAGGCTTGCAAAGTATACCAGGGAACAGGGTCACTAGTGCCTGGCACCTGTGGCCTCTCAAGGTCACCTGCTTCTGGGCAGTGACTCAGCGGGGCTCCCAGTCAACACCCCACTGGCTGGCACTACTGCCAAGAATTTGCTTTGGGATCAGAGGAAAAATAGAGCAAAGGTCCAAGATGAGGAACATGAGTATGTCATGAGCTTTTTATGCCATGAGCACCCAGAGTGCCAGTGCCGAGCAGACACGTGGCGTGTGCCGTGTTCAGGGTGTTGGAGTGTTTGGCAAGATGTGGCACCAAGTTGTAGCAAGTCTGTGCTACAACCAAAAGCTCCAAATCCCTGCATTCTGGGAGAAACTGAGCACAAATTTGGGTGTACCGGGTAACAAGCAGGAGCTCTAACTGCAGGGCACTGTGGGTATCTGTGTGTCAAATTTTGATTCCTTAGTTTTTAAGGTCACACCAGTGGTGCTCAGGAGTTACTCCAGATTGTGTGCTCAGGGACCACTCCTGGCACATTGGGAGACTGTGTGTGGGATATAGAGAATTGAACCCAGTTTGGCCACTTGCCAAGAAAGTGCCCTACCCACTCGTTATACTATCACTCCAGCCCCTATGTGTTAAGTTTTGCAAGCAAGCTGGGCAATCCAGGATTCAAGATTTCCCAGTGCCTGGGAGACCCTCTGCACCAGAGTTAATGAGACAGTAGGGCATCTGGGGTGCAGTTACCAGTGTCCCCAACATCTGTGTGTCAAGTAAAATAAACCTGGGCAGTGCTTGGTTCTAAAATACAAGTGCCCAGAGGTATCTGAACACCAAGATCAAGAGGGCCTGAGTGGCAAGAAGGTGAGTGCAGTGGTCAGTCTTGGGCATCACCCAGGCTGCCCTGCTGGTCACACCTGCATGGGTGGTAGAAGGGATGTTGTGAGGGAGGTGAGCCTAAGAATGAGCCTGGCCTCAGTCATAGAACACACTTTCCAGCCCGCAGAGCACACAAGCAAGAGGGACGCCCGTGCTAATGGGCTGCACCTGGTTGGTCCGTGGAACGTGGCCTTTGCCTTGCAATTTGCTTGCTAGCAGTCACATGCGGGTGGAAGGGCTGGTTTCTTGGTGGGCTAGGCTAAAGCAAGAGTCTTAGCCCCCAGGCAGCTGAGTTATTAGCTTATCACTTCTGGAATTTTCCCTGGCGGGCTTTACACTGAAGTAAGGATGCAATCTGATGTCCACCAGTAAGGTGAAGGGGAGTGATCAAGTTCATGACCACTGTGATTCTAGTACCTGTTCACAGCCTATGGATATTCTAAAATTTTGTAAATTTTTAAGAACTGAAATGTTTCTGTTAGCTGTGAGTATAATTCTGAGCATGGTATACTATAAGTTGAGCAAAATCCCAACTCAATATTAGTATAATAAGAACTTTAATTTTCGCCTTTTTTTTCTTTTACTATTGACAATCACCAATTTACTCCAATTCTTTCTTTTTTTTGTTGGGGGGGGCATACCTGGCAATGCTCAAGGGTTACTCCTGGCCCTCCACTCAGGAATTGCTTCTGGAGGTGATCAGGGGATCATATGGGATGCCGGGGATCGAACCCTGGAGAGTAAGGCTAAGGCCCTCCCTGCTGTCCCATCTCTCTGGCCTTGTCTCCAAAAATTTCCAACCTAATCATTCATTGGGAAGAACTATATAAATCCTCTCTAATACAGATGCATCATTAATCTAATTTAGAATAAAATAAATAAAAATTGCAAATAGGATTTAATATTATACAGAACAAACCAGTGACTATAGAAGAATCTACTTTGTTGGTTTTGACGGGCCACACCCAGCAGTTCTCAGGACTTGGTCCTGGCTTTGGGCTCAGGGATCGCTCTTGGTGGGTTTCAGGAGACCGTCTGTGGTGCCAAGAATAGAACTCAGATCAACATGTGGGAAGGCGAGTGCCCTGCCAGTGGTCCTATCACTCTAGTCCTGCCCAAAGAAAGTATAATTTTAATGCCATTTTGTTTTTAAACAGTATGTTTTGCTACTTTCATATTTAGGTACTTGTTTTTCCTCCCCCCCCCCTTTTTTTTCTTTTTTGTTTCTTTTTTGTTTCTGACTATAGCTTGGAGCTGGAGCAATAGCACAGCAGTAGGGCATTTGCCTTGCACGCAGCCAACATGGCCAACCCAAGTTCGATTCCTCCACCCCTCTGGGAGAGCCCGGCAAGCTACCGAGAGTATCTCGCCCGCACGGCAGAGCCTGGCAAGCTCCCCGTGATGTATTCGATGTGCCAAACACAATAACAACAAAGTCTCCAATGGAAACGTTACTGGGCCCGCTCGAGCAAATCGATGATCAACGGGAGGGCCTTTACCTTTACCTTACCTTTATAGCTTGCAGTATATTGTTTACTTTAATCTTTAGGTTTTCTTTCCTCTCTCCCTAACACCATCCACCTATTAAAATTTTAGTAAATATTCTTACTTCTCATGACAATTTCGTTGCATAAATCCAAGAAGAAATTTCAGGGTGACAACACCCAGCAGTCCTCAGGACTTACTCCTGGTTCTGTGCTCAAGGATCTCTCCTGGCAAGACATTTTCTTGATAGTTAATCCCCAAGAAATTTTCTTTCTTTTGTCTCTTCAAAGGGATAACCATAGTTGCATTCATGTGGGTGTGACCAGATTGTGAGGTACCACACTATTCTCAAGACTCAAGACTGATCTCTCTAAAGCAGGGAACAGGTAAAGGTAAAGGCCCTCCCCTTGATCATCGATTTGCTTGAGCGGGCCCAGTAACGTCTCCATTGGAGACTTTGTTGTTACTGTGTCTGGCATATCGAATACTCTCGGTAGCTTGCCGGGCTCTCCGAGAGGGGCGGAGGAATCGAACTCGGGTCGGCCATGTTGGCCGCGTGTAAGGCGAACGCCCTACCCGCTGTGCTATCGCTCCAGCCCTGAAGCAGGGAACAGAGATGAGGCTAATTCTCTACTTACAGGAGTTCCAATCAACCAACTGGGCAAAGAAGAGAGGCTCTGGGAAGGCACAGAATTTCTTTCATCTTTGGGGGAACTTAGAAAAAAAGGTGGCAGGAACACAAAAATGGCGATGTTGAAGCATGGAATCTTAACATGATTTCTAGGAGACCATGAAAAAGCTCAACCTGAAATCCCTTAGAAAAGGCTTCAACAAAACAAATAAAAAGAAGTATGGCTTTCTCTGCTCTCGGGCTGACAAACATACAAATGATTTGCCTTGATGTTCTTATAGGAAGTGAGAAAAGGAGGTGAGAACACTGTATTTCTGTAACAGCCCTTTGGTACCCACGTGTTGTTGTTGTCTTCATAGACATTGCAATATTTTCTATTTCTTTCTTGTCAACAGAAATGAATCCTCAATTTTTCTAATTGACTATGACTTTCTAAATGGTTACTTCCAGATTTTCTCACAAACTTTTCTTTAAAAAAAAATCTAAATAGTTGAGGAATGAGAATATTTTTTTTATGGAGACCAATAGATGGAAATAAGCTTGATATAAATTTTAGAAAGACACCCACAATGAATATATGCAGACAATGATAAACATCTGTATCAATATTTCAGGATGTCAGTGACTCCAACCCCAGGGAGCATATGAAGGTATTTCTATCCTACACTTCTGTTTGCTGGATCTGTAGTCGGCTTCATTAGTTAAACATTGTTCTTTTTTTTTAAGCAATGAATTGATTTTGGGGGGTAAGTTTATTATTATTATTATTATTATTATTATTATGTTTGGGAGCCACAGACAATGGTGCTCAAAGATTACTCCTGATTCTGTGCTGAGGGATCACTCCTTTGGGTCTCAGAGAACCAGGTGTGGTGCCAAGGATAGAACCTGACTGGGGCACCAGCAAAGCAAGAAATTGCCTCACTGTAACATTTCTCCAGCCCATGTAATTTTATTTTTTTGCAATAATCCAATATTATTGTTTTATGAGGGCAGTGCTGCCCCCACAACTGCTTCCATTAGCCCAGATATCTCACTCCTACCTAGAACCCTTAGATCATAATTCCATTGTTGTATCTCAGAATTTGTCTTTCTTTTCATTCCTCCATAAAACAACTTTTAGGACTGGAGCATTAGGACTGCAGGGAGGGCATTTGCATTTGCACGTGACGATCCCAGGTTCCACCCCAGCATCCCATATTGTCCCCCAAGTGCTACCAGGAGTAATTCCTGATTGCAGAGCAAGGTAACCTCTGAGCTTTTCCAGGTGTGACCAAAAAAAACAACCCCCCCCAAATTAACAACTTTTATTATTAGGTTAAATTTTTAATTAACCTAATAATTAACCTAATAATTATTAAACTAATAATTATTAACCTGAGACCACTCTCCGCACACATGAAGGTACTGGCAGAGGGACAAAGCCACGCGGGTTCCAGGGCCGAGATCTCCAAGCCTACTCGGATCGGGGCCGAGCATCCTCCACCCAGATCCTCCAAATTCCAGTAGGCGGGGGTCACACCCACCAACTGGCCCCCTGGCACCGTGTAATCCCATCAGTGGCCAAGACTCAGAGACTATAAAACTCAGCTCCCGGAACCGCGCGGCCGCAACATCTTATTATAACATCTCATTATCTCATTCCTACTTTGGACAAACTGGCAGGCTACCGAATGTAGCCTGACCACACGGCAGAGTCTGGCAAACTCCCCGTGGCGTTCCCAATATGCCAAATACCAGTAATAATGATGGGTCTCATTCTCCTAAAGAGCCTTGAATATAGCACTTTCTTAAAAATCTCAGGGCTAGGATGAAGGAGACGTTACTGGGGCCTGCTCGAGGCAATCGACGAATAACAGGATGATTTGTGGTTGCTTGTGGTTATTATTAGGTAACCAACACAGGGGTAACCAGAAACCCATAGCCAGGTTGGGCTTTAGGGAACTGCCGCTTCTGTATCCACAAAGCTCACGAAGTTTGTTTAAGGTATGGGTATTGCCTTAACCCCAAGGACTTCAAAAAAGAGGAACACTTCCCTCCAGGGAGGATTTTCTAGTGAGAGGAGGTGGGACGAATGAGGGTAGGTATAGAAATAGTTTACACGTGTATTGCTGTGTTTTCTCTGTTTCCTATGTACCTGTCAGAACCTGGAGCTAAGCACCATCAAATTTGACCTGGGCTGAATCCATGCAGCCATGTTTCCTCCAGACATAACCAGTTCCAGCCCCACCTGCAGCTTCAGGACTCTGAAGGAGGATTCTGTATTGTCCTCACAACCTTGATCTAATGGGAAAAACCATGCCACCAAGTGTGATAAAAGCAGCATATTCTGCCTATCCCAGCACTGCAGTAAAATTACCCCCCCCCCCCACACACACACCTCAATGTCGGCTATGCCATCACCCTGCCTCAGCACGCCATTTCTAGAGAAAATACCCATAAAGTTGTGCTGAGCGTAGAGCTGGGAATGTGATCTCCCTCCCTCTCTGTGACAGTGATGATCTTAAATTTAACTACCTCGAGCTTTGGGCTGACCCCCACCACAGCAGCAGACGCATTATGTTCTGTAGCACATGCAGGACCTTCTTCTTGTCCACATACATCATTTTTGCCAGTATCATTGCCTCCCGATGTTAAGACACATGGTTTTACTTGTGCTTTTGTGTTGTGTGGGGACTTTCCAAGGTTAAAGAAGGGAGAAGACATTTCTGGTATTAAATGGGGGGACCCTTTGGAGCAAAAGTATTTCCCAGAGACTTGCTGGTGTTCCCTCCCCCCAGTCAGGTTGTAGGTCATAGACAAAGGTCAGTCCGCAAAATTCACCAGCATCCAAACTCAGAAAACACTCAATTTTATTACCAAAATTTTGTTACATAGGAAGTAAACAAACCAGAGAACATGGGCAAGAGAGTCACCATTCCTGGTTGACAATAGTCATAGAAAAGGCCAAGGATGAGGATTCAAGACAGAAAAAGGGCAGGAGCTTCCCTGCGAAGGTCCCAGTGAGGGTCGAGATGTGGGACCTCTTGTCCAAATTATAGAAGGAAACTTCTCCCAATTCACAGTCCAGAAGCACGCCAACATGACACTGTGCTCGGCGTGAGTTGAGCCGAAAGCCAGTGAACTGCTGAAGCTTCCAGAGGCCATTGGCTGGGGCTGGTGTCACGGGCACATTTCTGGGGAAGGATTCCTCGCACACACCCAGGGACCACACCCCCAAGCCTCGGATTTCCACCTGCCAGAAGTGCCTGCCACCTTGGAACCCCTCCTCACCCAGGACGGCTTCCTGAGAGGTGAATGCCCTGGGGGAAGGATCCGAGGCGGGCTCTGTGCTTGCCTGGCGACAACTCAGAGTTTTCCTGTCCGGGGAGATGATCAGACTGGGGTGAGCGGTTTCTGGGTCCAAGGTCAAATCCCTCTGGAACTTGCTGATTATGTTCTGCAGGCCAGTGTAATGAGGGGGTAAGATGAAAGCCGGCTCCACAGACTGGTAGGAGAAGACTGCAGGGAGCTCCATGCTCCTACAGCTGTCCCACTGCTGGTGCACCGCGCTGAGCCCAGTCAGTAGGCCCAGGTCTGGCTGCAGACACAGCCGGGTGACGTCCCGCAGCGTCCTCTGCAGGCTGGCGCTATGCTCTGCCAGCTGCTTTCTGCCCTGCAAGATCTTCTTGGAATGACTTGACATATGTCTCCGTACCCCGTTGTCAAGGACATTGTGCTCAACTCTCAAGAAATGCTTCAACTGCTCAGATTCCGAAAACAGTTCAATCCTCTGCTTTGCCGCCTTCTCCCTCCACTCCTTTCTCTGGGCCTCTTGCCATTCCTGGGCCCTCTGCGCCTCCTCCAGCAGCTTCTGCAGAGGCTCCAGATAGCCCTTGAGCTTTGTCCTGTGATGAGCAGCCGCGGGGCCGATGGGCGTCAGGCGGTGACCGCGGTGGGCAGCGGAGGCGGCGCACTGGCCACACAGCAGCTCCAGGTGGTCCTCGCAGAAGAGGCTCAGGGCCTGTTGGTGCTCGGCACAGCGGCCTCCTGCCTCCCGGGCGTGTCCCTCCGGTCTCTGGCCGGGCAGCTGGCTGACCAGGTCAGCCAGCCGTGCCAGCTGCGTGTTGGGCCCGCGGGGCTCACGGGGGCAGGGGTGCTGGCACACGGGGCAGGGCAGGGGCTCCTGAAGGTTCTGCCAGCGCCCCCGCAGGCATGAGCCGCAGCAGTTGTGGCCGCAGTCTAGAGTCAGGGGCGCGCGCAGGGGGCCCTGGCACAGTGGGCAGCGAGCCTCTGCCTGTAGCTCAGCCAGGGCGGCGGCCAGGGCCATGGTGCGGGGCAGCGGGCGGCCACGCGGCCTGCGGGGGTGGGGGTGGGGGTGGGGGCGGTTTCGTAGGGTCAGCGGCTGGGTGGGTGGGTCGGTTCGGGACTCTTCTCCTTCGGGTCCTACCCGGCCCTCCTCGGCGACGGGAAACGGATGAGTCAGTTGGTCCTGGAGGTTCTAGGATGCTCAGCTCCGAGGACAGACGGAAAATCCCGCTAGTGTCCGGATAGCGGGCTGTGGTGAGGGACACTCTGCAGGACTCCAGCTGCTTCCTGAGGAGACAAACAAGATGACAACGGGTCCCTAGAGCTGCCCATGGCACACGGACACCGGGGCCTACTGAGGCGCCTTATCACAAACCCAATCGGGCCCCTTCAAACAGTTAATCAGTGAGAAACCGCAGCGGGCCAGGCGCTCTCCCTGCTCAGGGGGTCCAACCTCCCCACAGCCTGCACTCTGAACATCGCCCATCTACCTCCCCCAAATCTCCTGCAAATGGCTGAGGACATCCTCTCATCCTGTCCTCTGATCCTGCCAGGTAAGAGGTTTGAGTCAAGTACAGAGAGGTTGTTTTCCCAACCTCTATCAGGTTCCCCGCCCCCCCCCCCCCCCCCCCCCCCAACCTGGGAAGCAGCTTGCAGTTCACCTGGGTCCTGTGGCTGCTCCCAGCTCTCAGCTCTCAACTGTGGCACCGGGTCCAAGGCTCTGGGCTGAGGGCACAGGTGAAGTCCCCGTTTGCCCAGTTCCTGGGATGAAGTGTAGGGCAGGACTGCCCAGAGGGCCTCTTCTATCCTTTAGGGTGTGTCCTTTCCTCTCTCTCATTGGTCAGATTCTGAAAGCCGCTCACTCCTGGGCAGTGATTGGCCCCCCAGGGCACCTCCCTGGTTCCCATCATTTGCATAGGGTGGGACCTCTCTTGGCCTAGCCTCTCCTCCCTAATTCTGGGCATGTCCTCTGTGTAAACTCATCTCAGGGACCTGGAAGCCCCGGGGTTTCTCTCTCAGAAGGCTGGCCTGTCTGGACGTGGCTGCAGGGCTTGTTTTAGGACCTGCTGACTTCTGTCCCTTGGGCTTTCCCGGAATCACAGATGCTCAGGGAGTCTGGACCATCCAGGTGCCCAGGAGCCCAGTGCTCTCCTCCCTTCTCCTGGGGTGGGGGTTGGGCAGTGCAGGGGCATGGGGAGCTGCTGGGTGGGTATCCTCAGGACACCTCAGCTTGTCACTGAACGATTCTCCCCAGAGCTCCTGATGCCCTGTGGGTTTCTGTCATCCTGGCCTCCACCTCCAGCGGGATCTTCCTCTGATCTGCCTGTTAACATCTGTAAGCCCAGTGGGACTTCCCTCTTGACGGGCAATCACCACATCTCCTCCATCAATCCTGGGCTCTCACTCATGGATCCTCCAGCTGCCTGTACATCAGGTTTCCAGCTGAGCACTCCAGGGGGTGCATCAGGGTTGGGAGAGATGAGATGGAGGAAGTGCTTAGTCTCTTCCTGACCAATGACCAGATGGCCAGCACTCCATCTTAGACAGTGGACATTTCTTTTTATACCTTTATAGTACTTTTTTGACTACACCTACCAGTGTCAGGGGTTACTCTTGGCTGTGCACTCAAATCAGTCACATGTTCAGGGGTTACTCCTAGCTGTGCACTCAGAAATCACTCACATGCTCAGGGTTTACTCCTAGCTGTGCACTCAGAAGTCACTCCTGGCATGCTTGGGGGACCATATGGGATTCTGGGGAGCGAACCTGGTTCGGCTGTGTGCAAGTCAAGCACCCTACCTCTGTATCTCTGGCTCCAATTTTTTATTTTTTAAAACACACCTGCAATATCTTTTAACTCCTAATTCATATTCAGATTTTCCCAGGTACCTTGAAAATGTCATCTTCAATTGGGTTTATGCAAACCAAATCTTCGATTGGGTTTGTGCAAATCTAGATCCAAAAGAGTTTCGTGTTTTCCTTTAAGAATCTATTTTTTTGTTTATTTGCATTTTGGGTGATACCCAGCAATGCTCAGGGGTTACCCCTGACTCTGAACTCAGAAATTACTCCTGGCTGTGCTCGTGGGACCATACGGGATTCCAGTGCTCGAATCTGGATTGGCCGCATGCATGGCAAACACCCTCCCCTCTGTACTAACGCTCTGGCCTCTCTGTTTAGAATCTAACAACTTATATTGGTTTGTTAAAAATTTTGTGCACCTTGATGAGTAGACTGGGAGAAGTCCTGTAAAATTCTTCATCATCTGTAATTTTCTCCTGATGTCATTTAACTTATAATCCATCACCATAGTTGCCCTATTTTGACAAGAAAGGTAGAGAGTTAACATTTAGTTTGAAATCACACTCAGTTTGGTGGTAAAAGTAATTCGGAATCACACAGCGGCTCTCAGACTGACTCCGCCCTGCTCCAGAGTCTCAACTAAATCTCCCAAGAATTGCACACCAAGTAGCCATCCTCAGGGGCACTCTGGGAGGCTGGTTGTCCCTGAGCACCCTGCAGAAGCTCTGGTAGCTGCAGCCACACCCAACCAACGGCAGTCACACCTGAATCTCAACTCCACTGCAGCCACACCTGGATCTCAACTCCACTGCAGCCACACCTGGATCTCAACTCCACCATTTCATGAATATTCTCTGCAGAGACGCCAGTCTGTGAGTAAGTTCAGGTACCCAGTGGAATATAAAAGTGTTTTTGGTGTTATTCGGAGTTGGGGTGGGTAGCGTGTCCTTAGCCTTCTGTGTGGGCATATGTGTATGTGTTTGGTGGCCATGAGCTGCCTCCCCACCCCAGTCGGCTGCCACCACCAACAGACACATGAAGGAGGGAACAGGGCTGCCACGTTGTTGGTGATTAGTCGCCATTTATTCATTAATCTCATCCCCATTCCAGGCTCACACTGCCTCTCATTCCAGTCTCCTATTGTCCCTCATGCTCGGCTCCCCATGCCTCTCACAGCCTTAGTTACAGAGCACATCACCAAGGGCTGGGGGTAGCAGTTACACATAGGTGAGATAGCACAATCAACATATATAAAACCCTTCTTCCCAGAAGCTCTTCTAGGACAATGTCTCATCCTGCTAGGGGATCCGCCCAGTCCAAGGGTGGAATTTCATCTAAGGGTGTAATTTCTCCTTAGTCCATATCCATTTTAAAAAGTCATCTTTCCCCCCCCCCCCTTTATTTTATTTTATTTTTTTTTAAGTTGTAGATTTACAATTTTTTGTGCTTTGGTTTCAATTATACGATGATCAGATACCCATCCCTCCACCAGTGCCCATTTTCCACCACCAAGGATAATATCCCTCCCACCCCCATCCCCCCATCCCCCCTGTCTCTGTGGCAGGGCAATCCCCTGTGTTCTCTCTCTCCTTTTGGGTGTTGTGGTCTGCAAAAGAGGCATTGAGTGGCAAACATGTTCAGTCCATAGTCTACTTTCGACATGCATCTCCCCTCCTGGGAGGATCCTCCAAACATCCTTTATTTGGTGCTCCCTTCTCTATCTGAACTGCCCTTTCCTCTAGGATACCCGGCTGGCCTCTAAGTTATGGAGTAATCCTCCTGGTGCTGATCTCAGCTATTCTTGGGTATTAATCTCATACTTTGTTACTTTATATCCCCCAGATGAATGCAATCTTTCTATGTCTATCCCTCTCTTTCTGACTCATTTCGCTTAGCATGATACTTTCCATATTGTACCACTTGTATGTAAATTTCATGACTTCATCTTTTCTAACAGCTACATAGTACTCCATTGTGTAGATGTACCAAAGTTTCTTTAACCAGTCATCTGTTCTTGGGCATTCAGGTTTCTTCCAGTTTCTGGCTATTATAAAGAGTGCTGCAATGAACAAACAAGTGCAGATGTCACTTCGACTATACATTTTTGCCTCTCTGGGATATAGTCCCAGGAGTGGTATTGCTGGGTCAAATGGGAGCTCAATTTCTAATTTTTTGAGAATCGTCCATACTGTTGTCCAGAAGGGCTGAACCAGTGGACATTCCCACCAACAGTGAAGGAGTGTCCCTTTCTCGCCACATCCACGCCAGCATCGGTTGTAAAAAGTCATCTTAAACTTACATCTTAATAATATTTCTAGTCATTTTGTATGGACACAGGAGAGATATATTAGGCTCTGCTGGGGGCATCTTGCGATAGATCCCATACTATAGTGTTCAGACCAGATTAGTCCTACACAATTAGTCCCAATAACTTCTTTTTGGGTCATGACAGAGTTTGTCCATGACTCTGCTCTGAACTTACTATAAGTTTTATTGTGCTTGCCCTGGGTCCATTCAAGTCCCGTTGTCGGGACTCTCCTTTTGGGGTGCTAGGAACTAAGGGCAATGAAGGCTTAAATTGAGTAAATATCACAGATGTCCCATCTTCCTGTATCTATACCAAAACGACATTGCTCTAAAATTAATTGCAAATGACATAAAGGTACGAGAAAAGCAATATTTCACTTACAAATACAATTTCAGAATCCTCTGAGTAATCTGACTTTATAAGTCACAGGTTCTGATTAGGGGAAATTAAGCGATTAACAGATAGGGGAAACAGAGGACTAAGAAGAAGTTAAAGATGAACACCGAGGAAATGGGAGTGCTTTGGGAGCATTGTGATGGGTGTTACTCAATAAAATGAAACTCCGAGCTTTTACTCAATAAGCCTAAACTCCTTTCTTAAGAACTGACCAATGTTATCCAATAGCCTCCATTACTTCCAGAAGCCCCAGCAGCCATGCCCACTGCCATGTGGCTTCTTTGGCCCAGACCATAGATCCTGAAGTCTCTGGATTGTGCGACACTTAATTCTGCAATATTGAAATTCTAGTAGGAGCACACCAAATTCATTGGGACAGTAACATAGAAGCCGACAAAACTCAACAAACAAAAACAATGACTCAGTTTGCTCAACTAGCAACAAACAGCTTAATCCTTAACATGGGGCTTAACAACCCTGTGATCTGATATAATAATTTTCACATAAATTGATTTTTTCTACTTACTGATTTTCAGTATTGTGGCCTTGCTGTCCAATCAATTTTCATCCTAGAATTGTGTCAACAGTTGTGACTGTTTTCTACACTAAAATAAACTTTAAAAAATTATGAAAGTTACTCAGGATGATTCAGTCTTGTCACAAGGCATTAAAGCAGGGTATACAGAATCCTGAGTGTTCCCCTTGGTGATGCTGTGGTTGATCAGTGGGTTAAGGGTAAGAGTTCACTTGTAAGTTGTCCCCCTACAGAATGCAAAATTGTTAGTGATATAAGGGGGGAGGGGTGGTTTGCTACACAATGAAAGAGACAAAATCTTATAATCTCCAAAATCTTATAATCTTTTTATTTTTTCTTTTTGGTTAAATAATATAGTTTATTTAGAAAGATTTAGTCAGAGTTATTTGGGGGGGGGAGACAGAGATAGAGAGAGAAAGAGAGAGACACAGAGAGAGACAGAGAGATGTGTTTATGAGAGAACATAAGTTAAGCTTCTCCAGAGGAGGGAGAGTTGAGAACATATATCTCAGGTCGAGAAGGGAGGTGGAGAATGTGTCCCACAGTCCTTTGCAAAGTTGATCTTTGTTGTTGTTGCTGCTGTTGTTTTTGGCAAAATAGTTTTATTGATTTTTGTTTTGTTTTGTTTTGTTTTGTTTGCCTTTTGGGTCACACCCAGTGATGTTCAGGTGTCACTCCTGGCTCTGCACTCAGGAACCACTCCTGGCAGTGCTGGGGTGGGGTGGGGGGGACCATATGGGATGCCGGGGACCAAACCCGGGTCTGCCGCGTGCAAGGCAAATGCCCTACCTGCTGTGCTATCACTCCGGCCCCAAAATAGTTTTATTGAGAGAAATGGGGGGCAGGAGGCAGCAGTGGCACAGCAGGTAAATTGTTTTACGTTGATCCCACCTGGGTTTGGTCCAGGCAGCACCTAAGGCCTGTGAAGTCTTGCCAGGAGTGATCCCTGAGCACAGACCTGGGAGGAAATGCTGAGCACTGCCAGGTCCAAAATTAAAAAGAAAAGAATAATAAATTTATATAGAGAAATGAGAGAGAGATAAGGAGAGAGACAAGGAGAGAGAGAGAGAGAGAGAGAGAGAGAGAGAGAGAGAGAGAGAGAGAGAACAGGTATTCAGAAGAGAACACAGTTTCTCTCTTCAAAAGTCTTGATTAACCTTTAGAAATCCCAAATAATCAGCAGAACGTTTTGAAGATTTCCTGGGATTTCAACAAGATTATTGTACTAAAATAACAATATTCATTTTATTCATTTATAGGTGAACAGAAAAAATGAAAAAGACGTTGTTTACAGTGGCTTACATGATAGCAGTCTTTGTAAAACAGCTCTTTCATGAAACTAGCAATGAATGCAGAAGTCGTGGATGAACCCAGCCCCTGAAAGAGAACTAGAAGATTTCATGGGCTCAAATGTGACTGACATGTCCATGGATTGTAAGATAACCAACAAAGGCGTCCGACCTCTCCAAGTTGGATTTTGTCTTTAATTTAATCAGAAATAAAATCTGCAGGAATTGCTTTAATAACAGATTGTGTAAACACAAAAAGACAACAGCGGCTCTATCTCTCCCGCCGCCCGTGTTCGGCAGTCTCACGCCGCTTCCCCCACCCTAGGGAGGTGGATGGTGATGGACAGACGAAGGAACAAGGGCCAGGCTGGTTGGTGCCAGTTGCAGTTTATTCCGTTCCCATCTCCATTCTCCTCTGATTCTCCTCCTATTTCTTCCTCCCCCATGCTACTTTATTCTCCTTCTCGGTCCCCCTTCATTCCCTTCTGCCTCCCTCATTCTCCTACTCCTCCTGGCTCTGGAATCTGGATGTGTGTTTTCAAAAGGCCAGCAGTGCTCTATCTCTCTTACCGCCTGCGTTCGGTGGTCTCGGGCTGCTTCCCCCACCCTGGGCAGGCCGACGGCGATAGGTAGGTGAAGGAAGGAACGAGGGCCTGGCTGGTCGGTATCAATTGTAGTTTATTCCAATCTCCACTCAAGGGGAGTGCTGCTCTCTCTCTCTCTCTCTCTCTCTCTCTCCCCCTGAGCCCGTCTCACTTCTGACTCTGCCCTCCTTTGCTCTTATAGTCTTAGTTTATATAGCAATCACATAGGATGCTAATACAAAGGTGAGTTGAACATTAATAAGTCAACAAAGAGGGGTAGGACCACTCCTCCAGGAGATTAACTCAAGAACAAAATCTCATCTAAAGAGATTATTCCGAATTACTAGGAGCTCTACTCAAGGGTGGGATCCAAACAAGAGTGTGTTGCTTTCTTCTTTCCTCAACTAGTAATCCATTTGGGAGTCAATCAACTCCCAAGTTACAAAGCATAATATTAACTGTCTTCCTGTGTCCATACAGAAAGGACATTGCTTTAAGGTAAAATATGCAAAAGTCATAACTTACAATACAAGTTCAGTGTCCTTAGAAGGATCTGATCTTGCAAGTTAACAGAATCTGATGGAGGGGGAAGATGATTAACTGGTTGGGGAGGAGAGCACAGAGAAGAGTTTACAGGTAAACACAGAGGAATGGGAATGACTTGGGAGCACTGTGATGGGTGTAACCCGATAAAACTAAGCTCCCTGTGGCAAGGGAGAAAGGACAAACCAACGTTATTCTACACCAGATATGACTTTACTTATCGTTCGGTTCTCATGGGCAGAGGGATAAGTCAAAGCAGTAATACATTGAAAGGAACCGTTCCCAGAGTGGAGTGGTCAATCTAAACTTTCCCCCAAAACAAATGTTTAAACCATTGCAGAAGTTTTCCTTCAGCTGGGGTTGGTCACACTTTTAATTTTTCTTGTTGTTACTTGCCTGATTTGGGGCTTCCGGGCCTTACTGCTGGCTCTGTGCTCAGGGCTCACTCCCAGTGGGCTCGGGGAACCATGTGAGATACTGGGGATCAAACCTAAGTCGACTGTGTGCAAGATAAGCACCTTCCCTGCTGTGCTCTCTCCCGGGTCCTGGGGGATGCATGTTGAAATGGTTAATGCTACGCGCTGGTACGGGGTCAAAATGAATCAGTCAAAACTTTCACAGTAGTTGGGTCTGGAAGAGCTGGCGTCTGTGTGTCTGTTTCAAGGGCCCTCTAGCACTGGCCTCAGTTAGGTGACTGGTGGTCAGGGAGGCCAAACCCTTCCTCCACCCCATTTCTCCCTGCTCTGAAGCGCCCCCAAGAGGGCACAAACTGGAAAGCTGGTGTTCACGCTGCTGGTGGGATTTTGGATGAGGAGGCCCAGGATTAGTGGAGGTGATTGGATGTCAAAGAAGGATGTCACATAGGAGTCCCACATGTTGACATGCAGATCAGAGGAAAAACCAACTTGGAGGTGGTGATTTGGATTACCCAGGGGCAAACTGTCAGAAGCATCGGGTAGAATCTACCAAATACATTCGGAGGCCTCCAAGTCTATTTCACCCAGGTGAGCCTCTCTTGTATTCTTCCTGGGCCGCAGGTCAGATCTCTGCCTTCTCCCTCTCCGTCTCCTCAAAGGTCCCCCAAGATGAGGCAAAGGAGCGGGGTCATTTCTGAGAGACTGCTGCCTGCCAGCCTGTGGCTTTTGAGAATCACAGAATGAGTTTTCACTTCCAGGAAACAGCACGACCCTCCTGCTCCCAGCAGAGATGGGTTTACTTGGGAAAAGTTAAGGCTAGGGATGGATTTCCTCAAGATGGTGCATCTATTTCATTGAGCAAAACCACACGAGCACTTTCCATCAACTTTGTAAACTCAGCAGAGTACTGAGCAGGATGTAACAAGGGTGGGGCAGGGACAGGGAGTGGCGAACCCCACCCTTGGGATCAGGAACCAATCACAGCCCTGAGTCCCTGGCCAGGGTGTGTCCTGCAGACTATGAAAGCCAGGCCCCGGCTTTCCCAGAGCAGAGCTGTGGGCAGCAGCCCTGGGTGCTTGTATCTCCCTCCTGGGCTGTTCTGCAGGAAGGAGAATTCCATCTGGAGGAGTCTGGACTTGCCAAGAGCATTCCTGGGAGCGCCACCAAAGGACCCAGGTGGGTCAGGACTTCTTCTGCCCTGTGAGCTCTGGGGGTGTGGGGGTTGCTACTGGTGGGCTTGAGCTAATGCAAAACTGGCTGTGTGGGAATTTGTAGGGGAAGATGGAAAACCCAACTGGGTCCTTTCGGAGAGAATCTATGGTGGCAGAACAGATGATGAGGTAGGGTCTTTGGAGGAGGTAGAAGGAGTCTCTGCTATAAATTTGAACTAGTGTTTTGAATTCAGCCTTGCACACTGAATTGCCATTTTGATCATGCTTTAAAAATTATTTTACCGCTGTCCTCTGAATGTGGCCTGTAAAACACGGGAGCTCTTCTCTGCTCCTCACTGTTTTGAAGTGAATTCCAGATATCACGGGAGGTTAATGCTGCGCTAGGCATCATTTCTGGTCATTACACTAGTTCACAACATTCGCCCTTAACATTCTCTGTATCTTGTCTATTCCAATTTGCTACAATGATATTTTTGATAGGTGATTCTGTCTTGATACCTAGAACAGAATCCTGGTGAGATGCTGCTCATAGGATTTGTATTATCTCATTTTGACAGTCTTAACATCTTGTTCCATTTTCTTCAAGGAATGTGGTAGACTGTCCCGGTGAACTGGAATCCAGAGACTGAGTGTCACGTTGGCACGCGATTAAGACTTTGAATTTCTAGCCCTTCTAAAGCGAGACTGTTCTAGCAACGAGCCCTGGGCGCTTCCTGCTGAGCACCCGCTGCGGAGACATCCTAAAGGGCAGAGACCCGAACCACCCCCTCCCAGCCGCTGCCTACCCGCGTCGCTGCCCGCCACCCCCGCGGCCCCTCACCATGGCCCTGGCCACCGCCCTGGCTGAGCTGCAGGCAGAGGTCCGCTGCCCGCTGTGCCGGGGGCCCCTGCGTGTGCCCCTGACCCTGGACTGCGGCCACAACTGCTGCGGCTCATGCCTGCGGGGGCGCTGGCAGAACCTGCAGGAGCCCCTGCCCTGCCCCGTGTGCCAGCACCCATGTCCCCGCGAGCCCCGCAGGCCCAACACGCAGCTGGCACGGCTGGCTGACCTGGTCAGCCAGCTGCCCGGCCAGAGACCGGAGGGACACGCCCGGGAGGCAGGAGGCAGCTGTGCCGAGCACCAACAGGCCCTGAGCCTCTTCTGCGACGACCACCTGGAGCTGCTGTGTGGCCAGTGCGCCGCCTCCGCTGCCCACCGCGGCCACCGCCTGACGCCCATCGGCCCCGCGGCTGCTCATCACAGGACCAAGCTCAAGGGCTACCTGGAACTTCTGCGCAAGCAGCTGCAGGAGGCGCGGAGGGCCCGGGGACGGCAAGGCGTTGAGAGACAGGAGTGGAGAGAGAAGGTGGCAAAGCAGAGGACTGAACTGTTTTGGGAATCGGAACAGCTGAAGCATTCCTTGAGAATTGAGTACCATGTCCTTGACAAGGGGATACTGAGGCAAATGTCGAGCCATTCCGAGAAGATCTTGCAGGGCAGAAACCAGCTGGTAGAGTATCGTGCCAGCCTGCAGAGGACGCTGCGGGACGTCACCCAGCTGTGTCTGCAGCCAGACCTGGGTCTGCTGACCAGGCTCCGCCGTGTGCAGCTGCAGTGCAGGGAGTCTAAAGACATGGAGCTCCCTGCAGCCCCTTGGTCCGGACCAACGAAGGCGCCTCACATGTTCTCCCTGCATCCTTTTGGTTTGCAGAACCTTATCAGGAAGTTTTGGGTGGAGCTGACACTGGATCCGGAGTCGGCGCACCAGACGCTGGTGGTCACCCGGGACAGGGGTACCGCCATCTACTTTCGCCAGAACATGCACCCCACCTCCGACTCTCACCCCCAGGCCTTCACCTCTCACCCCGCGGTCCTGGGCGCACAGGAATTTGTGGGCGGCAGGCACTTCTGGCAGGTAGAAATCAGAGGTTCGGGAGCATGGTCCCTAGGGGTGTGCAAGGAGTCCTTCCCCAGAAGCGCGCCCGTCACACCCTCCCCAGACCACGGCTGCTGGCGACTTCAGCCCCACACCTCAAGCTCCCTGGACCTCTACCCCTCCCACGTGTGTATCGGGGTGTTCCTGGACTATGAGCTGGGCAAGATTTCCTTCTACAACATGCTTAACCGGTCACTACTCTGCACTCTCACGGAGAGATTCACGGGGAGACTTCGGCCCTATTTCGGCTTTGAGTTTTGTTCCTTGCTGTGTTCCATGAACGTGAATGGAGACATGGACTGAGTGCCCAGTGCCCAGTGCCCACACTCTTGTTTGCTCCCTACGTGACCGAGCACCACTAATAAATTCTATTTTTTGATGTCTACATGTTGGTGATTTCCCACCCTCTGCTCTCACCCTGTGCCTCACATTTGAACATGTTAGAAAAGTTTGGTGCTCCCCATACTCTCTGGGTTTGGGGGCCAGTCCCACCTGTAAGCTCTCCCCTGGGAGATTCCCCCTCCAGGGTTTCCACCTCCCCAATCACCCAAAAGTGATTTTTTCCTTTCTCGCTTGTTTTGGACATGGAAGTGCTTTTCTTTCTCTCTCTCTCTCTCTCTCTCTCTCTCTCTCTCTCTCTCTCTCTCTCTCTCTCTCGCTCTAGCTCTCGCTCTCGCTCTCGCTCTTCTTTCATTCTTTCTTTCTTTCATTTTTGAGTCACACCTGGCAATGTTCCGGTTACTCTTAGTTCTGCACTCAGGAATTATTTCCGGCAGTGTTTGGGGACCATATGGAATGCTGGGAGTTAAGCTTGGGTTGGCCACGTGCAAGGCAAATGTTCTACCCACTGTATTATAGCTCCAGCCCCATGGAAGTGCTTTTCCCTGAAAATAAGGATAAAATGTTTTCTATTTTATCCCTCCAGTCAACATAATGCTTTGACATCGTGTTTTGCTGATTTTTTTTGGGGGGGGGGTCCTGTGTTTGATTTTTTTTTTCTTAGGCAGGTGGATGGGGTCTGGCCATGCCTCCCATGTTCAGGGCTTACTCATGGCTCTTTGTTCAGGGATCACTATTTTTATTTTATTTTTTAACTTTCCTCCCCCAATTTTATTTTAATGAAATTGTTCACAATAATTTATTACAGTCAATATTCCAACACCAATCCTACCCCCATTACACCTTCCCACCACCAGTATTTCAAAATTTCCCACCACCATCAAAGTCTGCCCTAAAAGCAGGTCCTAAATAATTTATTTTGTATGACTTGTTATGAATGATGCATTAAAAATGATGCTTAGGGATCACTCTCGACAGGGCTTTGGAAACCTTGTGTGGGGCTGGCGATCCATCCTGGCTGTAAAGGCAAGTGCTTTAAACTCTGCCCAAGCTCTGTGGCCTGGCCCGAGTGCTTCACTTTTAAACATTGCTCTAAGCTGTCTTGGTCATGGTCACTGAGTTTTAGGGCTCAGTGATGTTTGGCACCCAGGAAAGTCTCTCCTCCTTCCGTGCAGGTCCCAGCTCTGCCACTCAGCATGAGGGTCTGAGATGTAGTCAGGGCTGGGGAGTGGGGGGTCTGGGGCCATCTGAGCCTTCTTTCAACTATGTCGACCCCTGACTCTCCCCCTGGCCAGGAGAAGCCTGTGCCCGTCAAGGAGGCAGGATGGGAGTTGGGAGAAAATTTGCAGACACGGGTGAAGGGATTGGTGTCTGAACCCTTCATGGCTGAAACTCAGCTATGATTAACTTGGGCGTCCTGCAGGCAAAGCATATTTACGGCCTTTTCTTGTGTGTGTGTGTGTGTGTGCGTGTGTGTGTGTGTGTGTGTGTGACTTTGGGGTCATATCTGGTGGTGCTCAGGGCTTTCTCCTGGCGCTGTGCTCAGGGATCACTCCTGGTGGGGCTGAGGGACCATATGTGGTGCTGGGGATCAAACTTTGGATGGCCACATGCCAGGCAAGCACCTTCATTCCTGGCCCCCTTGTTCCAAGATTTACACTAATGAAACAAGCAATATTCTGTTGCATTATTTCCAAAGTCAAGTCCTATTTATGTATTTCCTTTAAAAATGTGACAGTGCATTATAACATCCTTAGTGACCCAGGCTCTCCCGAGGGAATTGAATATTTAAAAAAAAAAATCTTTGACCACTAGAGGGAGTCAGACGCTTTCGATGCTTGTGACTAGAGAAAGATGAAAAGCTGTCTTAAGGCTGTATCCAGGGAGGACCCACCTGGGCCGACAATGAAGGGAACAATTCCTGCACTTGGCTTCAATGCATGCCTCAGTGAAGCCCTGCGGCCTCACCTTCCACAGCTCTCATGCCATGCAAAGCAAAGGTTCTTATGGTCTTGTTGCTGGCAGCTTAATGATTCTGCCTTTTCTTCTTCTTTTTTTTTTAATTGTTTTATTTTTTTATAAAGTTTTTCACAATAATTTATAACATTTAATATTCCAACACCAATCCCACCACCATTACACCTTCCCACCACCATTATTTCAAATTTCCCCACCACCACTCAAACCTGTTCCCCAAAGCCTGTCCTAAACAATTTATTTTGTATAGCTTGTTACGAATAATCCACGAAAAAATTATCCAGTAAAGTTTCCTTAGGGGAAAGTGTGTGTGATGATTATTGTATCTAAACCTGGAGCCATTAAGTCCTTGTATAAGAGATTACTAACAGGTTGTTATCTCATTGCAGTGTGGTCGCTATAGTTGATAATGTTATATTATTGGAGCGATAGCACAGCGGGTAGGGCGTTCGCCTTACAAGCGGCCAACATGGCCGACCCGAGTTCGATTCCTCCGCCCCTCTCGGAGAGCCCGGCAAGCTACCGAGAGTATTCGATATGCTAGACACAGTAACAACAAAGTCTCCAATGGAGACGTTACTGGGCCCGCTTGAGCAAATCGACGATCAACGGGAGGGCCTTTACCTTTACATATTATACATATTATAATGATATTGTTGAATCCACTTTAGTTGCAAGCAGCAGATTTTGCCTGGGTACCTAGATGCTCTGATACTCTGTACCACGTGTATCTTGTTCTTCTGCAACCTTAAGACTGCAGAGGCCTATACACATTTTGCATGGCAACAGTAATTGTGTTCAAAACTAATCTTTGTCTCAAGAACACAAATGGTCTCTGCCATAAATTCACATCTACAGACTGCTGTTTCATGGAGCTCTTCAAAGTTCTGGCTCCCAGCAACTGGGCATTCTGGGTCAGCCCCTTGCCATCAGGGGAGAGCAGGGTCAATCTGAGACCAAACTTTTCCGGCCAGATAAACATAGATCCAGAAAGCCTGTTCTAGGCGTGCTGGGCCACTTCTGGAAAAAACAATTTTCACAGATGTGCCATTAATATTTGTAAACAGAGAGAGAAAGTGGAAAGTTCTTTCTGGAACCCACTGGGGACGTCCTGGGAAGGAAAGTTTCTTTGTGTGACTTGGCAATCAGTAGCCTTATCAGTGGCTGCTGGCACAAAATCTGTTTCACTAGCATCCACTTCTGAAAACGGTTGTTCATTGAAAGAACACTGCAGACAGGAAACAGGAAGTGTGCTGGCCAGGACCCAAGGCAGAAAAAGGCTGGCTCTGCCCTCTTTCTCTCTGTTCAAGGCACGTGGCCGTGTTCTGCTTCTTCATTTGCTTCTCTCTTCCACTGCGATTCCTCTGCTTATTTATGGTTTCAGCTTACATAGGACCCATCAATGTTCTAATTCCTGGAGGAGGGATAGTCCCACCTATGGTATCCCAGGAGGCCTACCATAAGCTGTTGGAATTGTTGACCTTGAGTCGGGGTCTAGCTTTGGCCATGAACTGTGGTCAAGCTTTCCAACAGTGAAGAGAAAGAGAGGAGGCTGTTTTGTAGTAGGGGTTGGCTGGGCAGAGGTACAGGTGAGAGAATACGTCAATACTTGGGGCCTGACCCAAGAGTAGGAAAATGCCTGTTGCTGAGATTCCTGCAGAATAAAGGTATTTTCTGCTTGTGTTCCGATTGATGTAAGTCGTCGTTCTCCCTCAAGCTCATTTCTAGGCGTCCTTACCTCCCACACCTTCCCAGGCCTTTGAACCTGCTTCATGAGGCCACAGGAAGGGCCTGAGCTTTCTGTCTTCCTAACTGGCAGAGCCTTATCTGGTCCCGTGAGCAGAGAGCAGAGTCTAGACCCTCACCTAAATGCATCTGGTTTTCTCCCTAACAAAGTTGATGCTTCTAGACACAATTCTAGAATCCAAGGTCAGAAAACTTATTTGGGGTGTAGCTAGCGTGATAGTGCAATGAGTAAAGCACTTGCCTTTCATGTGGCCCACCCGTGTTCAATCTCTGGCATCTCATTTGGTCCCTCTGAGCACCACCAGGAGTGAGTCCTGGGTACAGAGCCAGGAGTAAGCTCTAAGCACCGCTGGGTGTGGCTCCAAAACAACAGCAACAACAACAACAGAAAACATATTTGAGCACATATTTTCCATGATCTAACCTGAGGCTAGTTGTGGTCTTTATTTGCATTCAGGGTTGCTGTTTACACACCTTTTTTTTTCTTTAAGAAATAGAAATATATCTTAGCATTAGCTGGAGTCACAAACTATTTTGAAAGTGTTTATGTAATATACTCCACAGGTATGATGATACTTTCTCAAATTAGAAAAACAACTCAATTCCAAAACAGCTGGCTCTCAGAGTTTCAACGAAGGGAACCTGGGCCTGAACTCTTAAAAGCAAGAAAGTAATAAATACATAGCAGGCAAATAGACAATGAAATGGTGTCAGGGAGGGGAGGTAGAATAAGTTTGGGATCTGAAAGAATGCATTCCAATGGAAGATAAGATCTAGTTAGAGTCTGATAGCATTTATCCCTGTGCTCCCCGAGGGTTTACCCCTAGGCTCCCCAGGAAAATTCCTTCACCTGTTTGGCACACAGCTCTTCTCTCCCCCCCAGAGAGAACGACTCAAGACTGGATTATTTCTTCCATGTTTAGCATCCTCAAATTCTGTGATCCTAGTTGTTTACTTTTCCCATAACAATCCCTCCCATTTGAGTAATTTTAATAAACATTTTTTAAATGTACATAATAGTGCATTTTCCCTTCCTTTTTCACATTTTAAATATAAGCTCAAATATAATCCATTTGGCCAGTCATTTCCAAGTTTTCTTTAACGTTAAAGAAAAGAAAGCACTGAAAAACTAGCTTCCATTGGTCTTAAGCTTTTACATTCCACTGTTGTGTAATCATTACACAATCCACTTACTTTTCATTTACTGCATGCATGGTGATTTCTATTTGCCCAGAAAAGAC